TTTTGTTGCCCCTGTGTGTTTTCTCAATTGTTGACTTGAGCTGGCTGGGAGAGGGAAGAATAGTAGATCTAAGTGCTACTTAAGATCATTTTTTTTGTTTGGTTGTACTGCACTGAGGAACTACTCAAGACGTTTGAAATTCAAAACCAGGAGTCATAGGCATTCTTAATAGCATAGTTATATTTTTTACATAGAACAGAGTCCCATTGAATTCATGAGAATTAGCACAATGTAATATTAGTACCTGTGATGAATTCATATTAGGAAAATAATTGTTATAGTCTACCATTTGATGTTGATAATGTAAAATCTCATCTTAAGAGAAGCAGCTTGAAACATATTAGTAATGAATAAAAAGAATACAGAGAATGCAAATTTCCACATCAAATTATTACAAAACATATATGAAACTGGCACTGAACCCTCAATTTTTATATTTGCATATTGTGGGTTGAAAAATCTAGATCTAAGCAGTATGTAATTATTTGTAAATACATTTGGGATTTTTTTAATGGAGAAAAGGAAAAAAGCACATGCAATTTTTAACATAAATCTCTGAAGAAGCATTACCTTTGTTGTGGAAGGTACAGTCTTCTTAGTTGCCTGCTTAGCCTTCTTTGCTTCCTTGGCAGCCCTGTTAATTATAATCACAGCATAACTCAATTCATACAACAAAATAAAGTAAAAGGGCACAGCAGAACACTGCAAGCTGCTGATAAAGCAATCCCATTCTGAACATTCACCAAAAGGAAAATAAACACTAACTAGCATAACTGAGATAGAAGCCAATTAGTGATATTTTGGCACTGATGCTGAAATTCTAAAATTCTTGGAGCCCTTAGAGAACATATTATTGTGGGAAACATCCCTGAATAACCTTCAAGTCTCCATTCAGTTTGTTTAGGTAAGAGAATGGAGAATACTCTTAAGTGCCATGAAACCAGTATAATACGGATACATCTCCCTCTCCATTTCAAACTTGGAAATCAGGCAGTAGAAAGGAAAAGATCCCATTGTATAGGATCACAATAACATTTTTTTTTACCAAGGCTAGTCAAAAGCTTCAGCATCATTTTAAAAAATTACATTAATTTCAGTGTATCTTGTTTACACTGAATACAAAGAGGTAGCCATGGAATGGTAAATAAATGTAAACCGAGAAATATGTGGTAACTGCTCACCTAATAGCCTGTTCTCGTTGAGCTTTTCGCACCTCAGGCTTCTGATTTCTCTTGGCCATGATTTCAGCCAAAGAGGCTCCTGTGATGGCTCTATGGCCCTTGACAGCGCGGCGAGTACGTTTCTTTTGTACTTCTTCCTGAAAAATGAAAAAAAAAAAAGATGGAACATTAAATACTTTCTGAAGCCATGTGGAAGGAGTAAATGCAATTTTTTGTAGGCCTCAAAGATTCTGCTCATATTTTAAGTTTATACTTTCCTAACATACTGTACCTTAAATTAAAAAGCCTTGGTGGAAAAAATGCAACTATATGTGTAGAATATTTTTAGCGGTTATAATTTTAATCATTTCCAGTAAAACTAAGCAACTACCTATTTAAAATCTTTGCTACAGTATTTATTGTGGAAAAACAAATCACAAAAATACCATCCTTGTATTTTATATCTGTCTCTTAAAAAACATTTCTATAGTTGCTAAATGCAAACAAATTGGAACTAGGTGAAAAATCGGTGATACAACTCACTTCTATTTTGGTCTAAGCCAGTCCCACCGTGTTTCCAAATTTTATGCTCTGTCATTTTATCTGATATTTCTAACTTGCTACCTACTTTCAACGTTTCAACAAAAATTAAATCAATTTTGGAAAAGCAAACTATAGAGAAACCTCTATATTGCTGGAAGGATAAACATCTTAGTATTATTTGAGGTAAAGTGAGAGTGATTCAATGGCTGCCTTATGTACGAATTGATCAAGACTGAAATCCCTTCAATAGGATGCATAGAAATTCACGGAGCCTAGAACCATGACAATATATATTTAGGTTGTTTGTTCCATTTTTTGAGATGCACACTTAAACTACTTATCTGGAACCAAACCCTAACAAATTCAACTTATTTATAAGTAGAAAACATGGGACTGTGCTGAAAAGCCCTTGTTCCTACTTTTAAAAGCTAACTACAGATGTTTAAGGAAACATCGGCCTATTAGTGCTAAACCTTTCTTCGAGTATTTCCAAACTATACTTGTCAACCTATACACATGCACTTCTGTCCTTTTCAAAAGCAGTTCAAGGGAAGCATTAAATGTCAACAAAATGCTAAAACCAGTTCTCTAGGAAAGGGATTATGAAAGATTAAAGGCTCTATCTTTAACAGATCATGCTACATCCCTGGATACAATACAACACAAGATTTAAAAAGTTAAACCAAAATAGTAATTCTGTTCCAAAATGCCATTTAATAAAGCAATACTGTAAGTGATTAGAAATGCAGTGCAACTATGATAATTTTTCAATTTCAAAGACTCAACAAAGACATTACAACATATTTACCGACTGCCCTTTCTTGTGCTTCCGCCTGTATAGAACAGTCCAGTTGATCTGGCGGGGGTTTCTCTTTGAGAGGAAGGCAGACTCACATTTTGCATTCAAAAACTGGAAAACCTGGAACATCAGATGATTTTTTAGTCAAGTTTGGAAACATCTAACCACAGACACAGCTCATATTACCATAAAAGTCCAAATACTGTCAAATTAAGTTCTTTCTGATAAATCATGTAAGCCACTTGTATGCCCCATTAAAAACCTTACAGGTCCACACCAGCTTCTACCACATATGTAAACTTTGTATATGGTGAGGGATGGACTAGAAAGCTCTTTCACAGGGGATCTAAAATATTATAAATCCAAAAAATGCAGTGACGCTAAGGCCTCAGATTACTGGAACCATTACAGGATGAATACCACTTCAGTGCTCCAAAATGCAGTGGGTGACTGAGATACTGGGTGCAAATACAAATTGACACTTTTAAGTGCTTTGGCTCAATGCTGTGGGATCCTGGGATTTGTAGTCTGAGGACACAGCACACTTTGCAGAAACAGCTTGTAAAACTACAACTCCCATGACTCCACAGCACCATGGCATGGCATTGAAATCGTGTCAAACTATGTAGACGCACCCAATAACAACAATTTGAGGATGATTTTATTTATACCATTTCATGCACACAGTGCTGCACAGCCTCTTAAACCACTCAGCTGTTGAACTTGCTGATCGAAAGGTTGGCAGTGCAAATCTGTGGAGCGGGGTGAGCTCACACTGTTAGGCCCAGCTTCTGCCAATCTAGCAGTTTGAAAAAATGCAAATATGAATAGATCAGGAATGGGAAAACATTGGCTGTCTGGGTATTTTGGAGTTCAACTCCCACAATTGTGGGAGTCGAAGTCCAAAACACCCAGAGGGCCAAAGTTTTCCCATGCCTGGAATAGATCAATAGGTACCACTTCAGCAGGAAGGTAATGGCACTTCATGCAGTTATGCCGACCACAAGACTTTGGAGGTGTCTACGGACAACGCCGACTCTTCAGCTTAGAAATTGAGATGAGCACCACACCCCAGAGTCAGACACAACTGGACTTAATGTCAAGGGGAACCCCTTACCTTTACTTATTTCATGCACAAAAACTACTCTACTTAGAATTAATTTTAGGCTCTGTGTCAGAAGTGTATATGAAACACAACTGGACCCTCATCTTTTTATTTGGACCCTATCTCCAAAGTATCTCTTTATGTAAATACAACAGTCTCACTTATCCAACGTAAACGGGGTAGCAGACCATTGGATAAGCGAAAATGTTGAATAATAAGTAAGGATCAAGGAAAGGCCTATTAAATGTTGCATTATGTTATGATTTTACAAATTAAGCACCAAAAATATCATGTTTTATAACAAATCGACTGAAAAAGCTGTTCAATACATGGTAACGTAATGTAGTAATTACTGTATTTACGAATTAGCACCAAAACATCACAATATATCGAAACAACTGTGAATCTCGGTGGGAGATTGACAGTGTTGGATAATGCAGAACACTGGATGAGCGAAGGTTGGATAAGCGAGACTCTACTGCAGGCTTCCTCAAACTGCAGCCCTCCAGATGTTTGGGCCTACAACTCCCAGATTCTCTAACGAGCTTGTTCAATGGTCAGGAATTCTGGGAGTTGGAGGCCCAAACAGTTTGAGGATGCCTGCTCTACGGTATTAAGGGTGTGGGGAACTCTAGGACCAGGCCCGAGAGGACGCCAAGGCCCCATTGTATGCCTTGGTCAGCGCCTTGGCCCATCTTTTCTCTTGCCTTGCCATCTGTCCTCGCGTAGCGTCGGCCGTGGCCCGGGTAGATCTTGTACCCACTGAAGCTGCATAGCTCGACCCTGAAGCGCGAGAAAGGAAGAATGGGGAAGCGTCAGCGAGCGACAAAGCGCGGAACCCACAACCTTTCCCGCCCCACCAAGCCCCCAAACCGGAGGATGGCGCCGGATTAGCCACCGCGCCCCATCCCGGTTCCTTACTTCATGATGGCAGCCGGCTCGCCTCGGAGGCAACTCCAGCGGCGAAGAGAAAGAGAGGATCATGGGAAAACGCCTTCTATACTCCCCGCGCGGGGCACGACGGGAAACAGGGAGGTGCTTATTAATAACCGGAAATATTTTTTTTCCGCCGAGTGGTTTCGACCAATCAGCGTCCGGCGCCGGCGCGGTTGCCTAGCGTTGGGAGCAAGCGGGAAATATGGCGGCGGCGACCGAAGGGAAGAGGCCTGAGGCGTCGAAGGCAAGAATGAGCAGCAAGGAAGGTGCGCCTCTCGGTACAGGGTTGTGTATTGTCGCTTTGCGAGGAAGGCAAAGCGGGGAAAGGCGGCAAAAAGTACCCCGGCAGGGCTCTTTGGTTTTTCAGCAGGTCCCCCGCGGGGCCTTGTGGGAGTTGTAGTCTTTGTCGTCGCTCAACTTGGTTGACGTATTAAGTGTGTTGTTGGGGCTGGACTACAAATCCCAAAAGATCTTGCGCAAGGCCGTTGTCTTTCTCTGCTTTGAGAGGATTAGGAATAATGTGACAAAGGCAATTTGGAAGGAGAACAAGGAAGCTCTGCCTGCTGTGAGGGGAAAAAAAAAGCAAAGCCCCTTTGTCTCTAAATCTTCCTTCCTTTGCGGCTTCTCTCTGTTCGTGCATATAAAGTGGATTTCTAATGGCAGGTGCGGTCGACCATCTAAGCATAACAGACAATTGGTCGGGAGGTGTTTCTGTCATTCCTTTTAAAAAATATCTAGCTGTTTACCCCTCTGTATGATGATCCTGATAGTGGAGGTAAAGGGGTGGTTAGAATGAGGAACATTTCTGTGGAACAGGCTCTTTATTTGACTTATTTCTGCTTTGAGTGCCAAGACTGAGCCCTTCTACTATTATAGTAATAACAATAGAGCTTTGACTACTTGAAAAAAATGCAGAAGCGTCTGTATTTGAATGTTAGGAAGCCTTGAGGAATCAAACCAAAAATCTTCAGCAACTTTTTCGCAAAGAGAGAATGCTGTTGCAGAAAATACAGGTTTTGGATTGTTGTGAGTTTTCTGGGCTGTATGGCCATGTTCCAGAAGCATTCTCTCCTGACGGTTTGCCCACATCTATGGCAGGCATCCTCAGAGGTTGTGAGGTTTGTTGGGAACTAGGCAAGTGGGTTTTATATATCTGTGGAATGTCCAGGTTGGGAGAAAGAACTCTCGTCTGTTTGAGGCAAGTGTGAATGCTACAATTGGTCACCTTGATTAGCATTTAATGGCCTTGCATCTTCAAAGCTTTGGCCGCTTCCTGCCTGGAGGAATCCTTTGATGGGAGGTAATTGCTTGGTTCTGTTTCTTGTCTGGAATTCCAATTGAAATTCCCAATCATCTGGACGATTTCAACAAAAAGGAGGAAACCATGAAAATGAAAAAACAAAAACTGGCTTCCAGTATTAAAGAAACTCCAAAATCAAGAACAACACTCAGAAACAGGGGAATTCCAGACAAGAAATAATCAGGGCCAGTTAATTCTACTATATTACTGTTCTGCAAAATTATTAGTAATATTACATGAAATATACAATGGAATGCAGTATAATTTTATTGTAAAATAAATTGTGTTATAAAATAGTAAGGACAACGGAGGGTGTTTGAACATGCACAGAGTACCCATCCTCAGCTTCTGAACATTGAGATGTAGCCTTTTCCCTAAAAATATTAGAATTGGGGATAAAGTCAAAAGGTGTGGCTTTCTACCAGGTTTGGAGCATAAGCAGAGGCTTTTGGTTAAAAACTATATGAAGCATGCTGATCTGTGATTTAATTTTGCACTATTTGTTTCTAAAAATCCTCAATGCTTAGGAATGTGAAGTTATCAACCTATTTGCTACTATTCTCTATTCATAGAATAAACCATAAAGTTCAGTCCTATGCATGCCCATTGCCCACATAGGGCACATCTGCACTAACTATTCAATACAGTTTCAAATTGTTCTTCAAGAAAATGATTTCGATGTACAGGAGATTATAAGAAGAGTGGAGGCCTTTAAAAGTGTTGTCAGGGTTTTTTTTTCTGCTGTCAGAAATTTAGAGACCCTTCCTTGACTCTCTAGGCCCCAGGTTTCTCATTTTAAGCTTTCAGGTATGAAGAAAACTTATGGTATGCTTTGGTTATAAGAAAAAAAAACCCTCTCAAGCTTATGTTTTAATCTGTATTGCAGTTTTGTATGTTTTTAACTGTTTATATGTTTTAGCTGTTTTATAATTTAATATGGTATGTTTATTGTTATGTGCATGATATCGCATTGAATTTTTGCCATAGTTTGTAGTACCCTTCGGGGTGAGAAGAACAGGGTAGAAATGGAGTAAAAAATAACATATTGTACTACATTTTCATATCAAAATTTAATAAACACCTTAATATCTCCAAGGAATGCATTCAGAACCACTTTACCATGGTAGATTAGCAACAGTGGCAACAACAGTTGGGTGGGGCTGTTCTGCAATAACAACAGCGAGAAACAAGTAGGAGAAGACAGGTATAGACCTTACTTTATTATGAAACTTTTCCTTGGTGTGTATTGAACACTCTTTGTCAGGAATATGAGACATTTCAAAGCACCTGGTGCATGTCACATATGCCGAATGTCATCTCAAAAAAACTCTTTAACTAAATAGCTGAATGGCACCATGTTGGTGAAGCATCGTTTGACTTAAAAGTTCCACCAAATGAGTTGACATTCCAGAAAGGCAGACAGTTGAATGAGCCAGACCAAACACAAACCATTTTTAGGTGTTAGAATCTGGGAAGCAGGTGACATGTGTTTTTTAACACTGGTGCATGCAACAGTATGTAACATGACCATTTTTGAGACTGATACACTTTGATCTTTCCTCTATTCTCATAGGTTCATTAGTTAATTGGTCAGGTCAGGGTTTACAAAAGTTGGGACCCACTTTATCCTGCGATGCTGATGCACATACTTTGGTTCTGGATAAAAACCAGCTAACTAAATTGGAGCACCTGGAGAATTTCAGGAACCTGCTACAGGTTAGTTGTCTCTGTGATAGAAACATGCCATTAGCCTTTTTACAGTTGCACCCCCAATGTTTTGGTATATGTTCTTTTTGTAGATTTTCAGTAAGTTTCATATTGAAGCTATGCCAACTTTAATAAGTATGAATATAAGATAACATGTTGAATTCTGCAAGTTTTCATGCATGTTTTTACTTTAGTAAAGCAGTTGTTTTGAAGTGGGCTTTCATACAAATGCTAGATAGCGGGGGCTGTATCAGTATTACCATATTAAAAATTTCAAGGAGATTTTACATTTGCATATATGGCAAAAGTAAAACTTGCCTACATGCGACCTGTGTCTCTTTCATAAACGCTTTGTAAGTTTTCAATAAAGAATTCTAGCAACAATTAGCTATCACTCCTTTAACAGCCCACTCACTAGCAGGAAGAAAGAGAAAAGGACTGGCAGGAGACAGGAAGAAAGAAAGGGAAAGATTTGACTTTGATTCCACCCACCACATGAATGTGGCATCTGAAAGATTTGTGAGTGTAATGCAGCCCTCAGGAGAAAAAGAATTACCACCCCTGACTAAATTAATAAGAATAGACAATAGCTAGAAAAGAGAATAAAAAGGCTTACACAATGCCCTGTCCTCTGTAAATAGCAATGAGTGGCTGTTTGAGCAGAAACTAGTTCTCCAAGGCAGGGGTGGAAAAAGTGCAGCCAGCATGCTGCTAGTGACCTCCATCAAGGGTCTCCAAGCTTCCCTAAATATGTGTGTGTCTGAACACATCGAAATAACCATAAGTAGTAATACACTTGGAGAGCTAGCATGTAGACCAGGATTATATTTGCTGTTCAGCCATAGAAACATACTTAGTGACCTTAGATGAGAGAGACACTCTCAGCCCCAGAAAGCCCTTGTTGTTCTGTGCCTTCAAGTCACCATACATTGGAAATAACGTGAAGACACGCAGCAGCAGCAATAATAGCTTTAATTACATTAATGAGTTCATGTGCTAGATTCTATATGGGCAGTTGTGAGGGTGTCCTAAGGAGACCAGATTGCAGTAAGCACTTGAAAGCTATTTTATGGTTGCCAGAATGAGTTGAAATATGTGTAGTCCTCTGTTGTGTCCTATCAATGGACCTCAGATATTTTCATGTGGTGAGATGAATCTCAAAATGAAGTTTCTTTTATCTCCCTATTTTGTAGCTGTCAGTTGCCAACAATCGGCTGGTGAGGATGATGGGTGTAGCCAAGCTGACTCAGCTTCAAATATTAAATTTGCCAAATAACAGTATTAGTTATGTAGAGGGATTGAAGGATCTAGTGCATTTGGAATGGCTAAACCTGTCAGGAAATAATTTAAAGGTAAGATTTCCTTCTTTGAAAATATCATATGTTAACCAAAAGTACTTGTGCTAGGGCTGATCTTTCCAAATTGGAGAATGTTCATACAAATGTTATGCTAAAAAGTATTAAAGGTGGATTTGTTATGAGCATAAAAATAGAGTAAAATAATAAATATAATAAAAACAATAATAAAGTAGAATGATCAATGTAACAACAACAACATCAACAATAACAATACATTTATTATGTATTTCTAACAGGGTAAAATAATAAATAATCTTGACTCAAATATAAGCCGAGCGGGACTTTTTCAGCTTTAAAAAAGGGGCTGAAAAACCAGGCTTATACTCGAGTATATACAGTAAATTCATCTTTGATGTTAGATTTCAATTACACTTGAATTACTTGCAAAATATTTTCTGCTAATTTCAGATAAATGAATAGATGAATTGTCAATTCAAAAACAAATGCAATGTTTACAAACATTCATAATACTAACATTTTTCTCTTTGTATAGACTATAGATCAGATCAATTGCTGCACATCTCTTCAACATCTTGACCTGTCAGACAACAATATATCCCAAATAGGAGATATCTCTAAGCTCTTGTCTCTAAAGGTGAATGCTGTTTGGTTGTTCTGGATCGGATTTTTTTTTTTTTTTTTTTTTTTTGCTGCAGTGACTGTAATTTATTATGACAATATTCTAAGATTCTACAATGATGAGGTGACAAATTCCATTGCATCCAGTGGGACTTTCTGCTGGGTAGTCATATGTAGGATTGCATGGTAACACACTTTCAGATTTAATTTTGGATGTTCTGTATAAAATAATATTTTAAAATAGGTTGGATCTAGAGCAAGTTCATCACACTGCGGGATATCGTAGTCATAACTTGTCCCATTCATTTTACTGTATCAAATCTGTGCCTAGCTTTCTTCATTTCATTTATCACACTACTGAATGGGCAGCTTTGAGAACTTCATTTGTATCCCTGGAATTCTTGAGGGCCTTCTTTTTGCTGAAGCAGCTGCTGTCACTGAAGAAGCTGTAGAAATCCCAGTTATTTTACTAGGAAACAGGACTCAGAGTGCACCCTGTTTCCCAGCACAAAATAGTTCTAAATATTTGATAAGTTGTCAGGAGCCCAATTCTGCAGAGAAATCAGAGGCATGAGGAGAATTGCTCTAATGTGTTGCATTTCTGTAGTTCCAGTGGGGAAGACAAACCACATTGTCAGCTGAATTTTGGGGTAGTACTTGTAGTGCCAGCGGCTGCTTAAATAATAGTTGAGGCCACATGATAAAAGAGGACCATCTTTTATCCTTTGAGTTAAACCAAAAGGAACTGTCCTGTGGAATATAAAGAGTGAGCTATTCTTTTGATATGTTGTTTGCTATAAATTTAATGGAAGTACTGTGGTCAGAGGAGCTCCCAGTGGTGCAGCAGGTTAAACTGCTGTGCTGCTGAACTTGCTGACTGAAAGGTTGGTGGTTCAAATCTGGGGGGGTGGAGAGTGAGCTCCTGCTGGTAGCCCCAGCTTCTGTCAACCTAGCAGTTTGAAAACATGCCAATGTGAATAGATCAATAAGTACTGCTCCGGCGGGAAGGTAATGGCACTCCGTGCAGTCATGCTGGCCACATGATGTAAGAGGTGTCTAAGGAGAATGCCAGCTCTTTGGCTTAGAAATGAAGATGAGCACCACCCCCCAAGTCGGACACAACTAGAATTATGTCAAACTTTTACCTTTACTGTGGTCAGACATTTTACAATTTCTAGAATCCAACATTGCACTGTTATTTTTAGAGTGGATTCTAGAGCATGGGGAACTCTAGAGTGGGGAAAATCTCTGTCTTGCTTCAATTAGTAGAAGTAATTCTGGCAGTAAATCAATTTGTATTCTATTCTGTTATTTCACAATTATATGTTCTAATAATAAATATATCTTTTAAAAAATTCAAACCACTTTATGTAGTGTGAATCAAAGATCATATATAACATTTGTTTCTTTCTGGTGTCTCTCAAGACTCTGTTGCTGCATGGAAATATTATAACAACATTACGGACGGCACCTACTTGCTTGCCACAGAGTCTAGCTATTCTTTCCTTGGCAGAAAATGAAATCAGAGACTTAAATGAGGTAGGAATAATATATTTCAATAAAAATGAATGTACGTATCATAATAAGTAATTTATTTTACATGCTGCTTTATTGTATTTTCAACAAAATTTCATTTATTGCATTTTTAATTTTCTACAGGGAACCTCCATAAAGTAGGCTGGTGGCATAGGGCAGTTGTGAGTTCCAAAATTAAATAAATAATTAACAATTATGAAGCAGTTATTTCTGAAGACATATATGACTGTTTCTTGTAGTGACAATACTTTTGCGATACACCTGGATTTTTATTCTTAAAATTATTTTAATGTCCTTAACAATTATTAAGCACTGTACAAAAACTTTTAAAATGAGCCATCCCTATGTGCATGATATAATTTAATAAAAAGGAAATAGTGAGGATAGAATATACTTAAAGAGAATATTAAGAACCAATTTCAAAAATTAAAACATTCTCATAGCAACTAGCTTGAATGAAGTAATAAAGAGCCCAAATAACTCTCATCGCACTGCACTCTTAAAGCACTATATTCCACTCTAATTGTAATGGCAAGGCTGTATGAAATCCTGGGATTTATGGTTTAGAGAGTGGCATTTAGTATTCTCAGTCAGAGAACTCTTGGGTCTCACTTAAACTATGAAACCCAGAACTTATATTATTTTGCAATGGCATTTAAAGTGGAATATAGCATATGATAGGGCCAAGATGACAGAGTGAGCTACTCTGTCTCATCTCTTTTTGGAGTTCTGTGCGAAATGGCAACTAAAGAATGAGGGGAGCCAAATGTCAGATAGGCTTTTCAATTGATCACTGTCATGTCTTTCCTTCCAGAAAAAATGGTGTTGCATTGCAGTGCATTCTGCTTTCTATTATTATTATTATTATTATTATTATTATTATTATTATGCTTTATCAACTCAAGTGGAATGCATTGCTGCAATGAATCTGCTTCTGCTTGAATTCATCAGTGCTTTTATGAAACTATTTTCAAACAACACAAATTTTAAATCCCCTGATTTTCAAAATGTTTTGATTGACCTTCTCCCATAACAAATGTTGCTGTCAGTTTGAACTATAGAGCAGGAATTGATGTCTCTTCCTGAAATTTTGAGCTTACCTAAATGTTTGATTAACATTCTGGATCAAACATGGCTCTGAGATTATGTTAAACACGTACAGTATATGCCAAACACTAGAAAGCCACAGAGGTACCTACTATAGAAGATTGGGAAAAATACATTATTGACCTGCTTATAATAGATAAAATAACTGTATTCTTGAGAGGAGATCAATTAGAGGATTTCATTAAAGAATGGCACCCAGCGATCCAATTCCTAAATATAAAAGTAAAATTAAACTTGATGTAAAAATACCTACAGGGGATCCTTTAAGACAGTAAACAAAGAGGAATTTATTACCAACTTAGAATTTATGCTCTTACTTGCCCTACCCAAGAAGAAGTCAGGGGCTCCTTAAATAAAGATACTATATGAGAAATGTTAGTGAATTATCAACAGCATGAAAATATAACATTATACGCAACAAACGTATATATTGTATGAAGAAATATATAAATAAATAGATTTTTTTAAATGAACTTAAATCCCTTAATGGGTGTCAGTCAATAATATTGACATATAATGTTGCATCTACACACTGTTCTGTCTTAGGAGTATTGAAATTGCTCAGAGGTGTCATTTGCATGATGAGAACAGCTTTCATTTCAAGCAGCTGAAAAGCAACATATAGCTCTAAAAAGCAACGTATCTCTAAAAAGCAAGAAGCATCTATTAGCTATTTTGTTTTCCTGGTTATAATGCTCTAGAGATCGCTCTAAAGCTCTCTTTTATGTTCTGAAGCATATAAACAATTCTAAATACTATGTAGTAGTCACAACCATGTACATATATCAGTTGAATACAGTCATTTGGTTGCAAAGGCTTTAATAAAATGTCATGTTCTAATTTGATGGTGAAATGAAACCAAAGACAGTAAATATTGGGCTTTCAATCATTAATCCAAAATAAGCAATGGTCATAATTATAATCTGATTCATTATATGTGTGGTAGTCTTCTAGACACACAGAACATAAAAAGTCAGTGTATTTGTCAAAAAGTCAGACAAATCTAGCAACTCCTCTAACCCTCTATATATCAATAGAATGTTACTTGACACGATCTTCAGTTTTTGAAATCGCCGAACATTGACAGTACAGTTGGTCCACAAAGCTTCTGTTTTACTTTAATTTTTTTTTCAGATTTCTTACTTGGCTTTTCTTCCTGAACTGGAGCAATTATCAATTATGAACAATCCCTGTGTGATGGCCACACCTTCTATTCCTGGGTTCGATTATCGGCCATATATTGTCAGTTGGTGTCTTAATCTTAAAGTCCTTGATGGCTATGTGATTTCTCAGAAGGAGAGGTGAGAAATTAAAGGCACGGAGGAACAAACATCACTTAATGGCAACAACATCCTTTAAGGGTTTTAAAAATGAAATTACTTGCCTCCCTACTTCCGTTTGCTTTGAATTTCTAAATAGCTACTGCTTTTATCATTACCTAGCTTAGTCAAATAGCAGCTGTAGAGCAGTGCTACTTGGAGGGGGTAATAAATATCACTAAACAGCAATAAAACCTTGCATATTTGTTTTTTATTAAAATTAATTCCATTTCTTTTTGCTTTGAACTTCTAAATGACTACAGCTTTTACAATGAGCTAGGTTTGCCAACTAGCAGCTGAACAACAGTATAACACAAGGGTTGCAGTCCATGTGCTGGTCTCTGTGCCATTGAGTGCCCATTTCTAAGAAACTATGTTAAAATGGTAACAAAATAGCATAGATGTGGGGCTGGTTCCATAGTCCACTGGGAAAATATTGTAATCTGCATTATATATCTTGAGAAACACGGCTCTACAGAATATGCATGGATTTTAATGTTCTTTCAGGTAGGAATATACTACAATTTCAGCAACTGCAGGAATTTCTGTGGTTGTTAAATTGAATGCATAGCCCCTGAAGAAGGCCAATCAATAACACTACGTAACAAAATTTGAAACAATTTCTGTTCCAGGTTTGAAAGTATTATTTCCTGTTTAATTGTGTGGTACTTACTTTGAAAGTAGTTGTTATACTCCGGAAGCTTTGTTTTTGTGGCTGCCACAAACTATGTTGAATTGGTTGAGACTACGGCAAAATGTTCTGCAGGATGTCCTACAAAAAGAAAGGTTTTGCAGTTTAATAAACCTTTTCCATATTTTTATGATACAGCCAGGAAATGACATTTATAACCAGGAACAAAAATTGTATTACATAGTGTAGTATAGAAGCTTTTTATAAAAGAGAATAACCAGCCTGTTTAATAAAATATGAACATTAACAATCACATGAAGACCTGTTTCTTCTTTTGCCTATGGATTCAAATACGTGCTTTCCATTATGGTTTTGGTATGGAGATCCTTCTTTCTTTTGGAAAATGGCATTTATAACCTTTTGGATAAACACCTTTTGGAGATCATAATTTTTTTAAAAAAGGTTGACCTTTCTGAGAGGAGCCAAAAGCCCTTTAGAGTAGAATCTTCTCTTGTGATGTACAACAGATATAATTATGCAATGCAATGGTTTCAGTTGTTTTGACTGAATAAACTGTTATCTCTGATCTGTTAGGAAAACAGAGATTTTGCCAGTGCATAAAAAACAACAGTGCTTCAGAAGTGTTTTTCAGTGCCCAAAAATATATACTTTCCCATAAAACAACTTGTTTTATATGTTGCACTCAAGAGACAAAAATGAAGTAGACTTTGATAAAAATAACATATTTGGTTTACTCACAACCTTCATGCGTTCAGCATACACTGGTATAAAACTTATCAGTGCAGTTTCAGATAACTTTGAAAGAATTCTCTGTGCCATCGAGCCAGGACATAGCTTACAGCAAAACAGCAAGCAACTGTGTGATCTGAGGTCTGAAATAATCTGCAATCTCTCTGTAGTCTGTCTGTAATCTTGTGATCATGTGGTCTGCAGCCCCTTTTATAAGTTCTCAGGAACCATAGAGTAAAGGAAGTTGCATACCAGAACATACATACAGGAAACAGCAAGCAACAGTATCGTAGGTAAACATTACTAGAGAAGGTTTGAAGAAGGTTGTCATTTCCAATACTTTCAGTGCTTTCCTGCACTTACTTCTAGAATTGGCAGTAGGGGTTTTTTTTGGGGGGGGGGGTGTCATTTTATTATACGGTATAGCTCTTTGTCTGTTTCAAATCCAATGGGCATTTCAATACAAATTTGATATTTCTGACCAAGCTGATGGCTGTCCATTTTTTTCCTATAGCTTGAAAGCAGAATGGCTTTACAGTCAGGGAAAGGGAAGATCATTTCGACCAAGCCAGCACATTCAGCTAGTACAATATCTGGCCAGTGTGTGTCCTCTTACTACTATGTTTGGGCTCCAAACTGCTGAGGATGCCAAACTGGAAAAAATACTACATAAACAAAGGTAAGATCATTATATTCTATTGTCAGTGGATAAAGTAAACAAATAAATGCATTTGTCTGTGTCAATCTGAGTCTGATCCATTCATGGAGCATTACATACATTTGTAAATAGCCAATGATAGATAAGTCATTGGTGCAAAAAAAGATTTTAAGATGGTTTGTAGCATTACAGATTGGATTGAAGAACACAAAAAGCTGTCATGTCGTTAGTGTATCTGGTCAGTTATTTGTCTGTTCTGAAGGCTACCAGGAAAGGAGTTCCCTCTGAATACTCAGGTTTTCCAGGAACACTTGGCACATTCTTTATTTTGTGCAGAAGCTAAATTTATGTGGCAAAGGTGTGGTATTTTATAGCAGAACAGTACAATAAAACACCTACTCCTTCAGCATAACAACAGAGAAGAAAGGAAGTAGACTGAATAACCCAGTTAAGTTAGCTGGGAACAATTTTTATCTTTGGAATATTTAAAAACAGAGTGAAGGATTCAGCTCTAATAACATTCAAAGTTATTAAAGTAACATGCAGAAGTAATTTCAGAATCACTATCTTTGAGAATTCTTGAAGAACAGGAAAGGTTCCAGCAAACAGGAGGACAAATCTCCCCATCTTCACACAGGGGACCCAAACAATTACTGCCCAGTCAGTGTGACATCAATACCAAAAAGGATTCTGGAGCAGATCATTAAACTGTCAATCTGTAAGCACTTAGAAAGGAATACTATGCTCTCAAAAAGTTCAACATGGGTTTCTCAAAAACAAGTCATGCCAAATGAATTGTATCTCACTTTTTCATAGTTACATACTTGGTAGATGAAGGGAGTGCTATGGATGTAACATATTTCAATTTTAGAAAAACCTTTGACAAGATCCCCATGACATTCTCAAAAACAAGCTAGTAAAATGTAGACAAAACAACGGTACTGGTAGGTGGGTTGGGAAATTGTTTCACCAGCCGAACCCAGGGGGTGCTCACCAGTGGTTCCTCTTCATCCTGGAGAGAAGTGACTAGTGGGGGTACCACAGGGTTCTGTGCTGCCCAGTGCTATTCAACATCTTCATCAGTGACTTGGATGACAGAATATAAGGCACACTTATCAAATTTGCAGATGGCACCAAATAGGGAGGGATAGCTAGTACACCAAAGTACAGGATCAGAATCCAAAATGACCTTGACAGATTAGTAACCTGGGCCAAAAGTAACAATGAATTTCAACAGGGAGAAATGTATGGTAATCCTCTTAGGCAGAAAAAAAATTAAACATGGGATGGGTAACACTTGAAAACAGTACTTGTGAAAGGGATCTGGGAGTCTTAATAGACCACAAGATGAACATGATTAAAAAACAGTGTGACTCTAGGCTGCATTGATGGCAGTATAATATCGAAATCGAGGGAAGTCTTAGTTCTGCTTTGGTCAGATCTCACCTGGAATACTGTCTCTAGTTTTGGGTACTCCCAATTCAAGAAGGATATTGACAAACTGGAATGTGTCCAGGGAAGGACAACAACATTGTTCAGAAGTCTAGAAGCCAAAAACTACAAGGAGTGCTTAGAGAGCTGGGACATGATAGCCATATTTAAATATTTGAAAGGATGTCATATTGAGGAGGGGGAAAACTCTGGATGGTGTGTTTTTAACTTTGAATGTATTTAACCATGTCTAATATGTTGTAATTTTAAACTAATTTTAGGTGAATTTGTTGTTTTGAGGCACTGTGTGTTGCCATTGTAAGCCGCCTTGAGGTAGAGAAAGGCAGGGTATAAATATGGCAAATAAATAATGTTCTGCTGCTCCGGAGACTAGGACACAGAACAATGGATTCAAATTGCAGGAAAAGAGAATCCACCTATTATTATGAAGCTGTTTGACAGTGAAATATGCTGTCTCAGTGTGGTGGAGACCCCATCTCTGGAGATTTTTAAATAGATGCTGGATGTCAAACTGTTAGGAGTGCTTTGATGTGTGTTCCTCCATGGCATGTGATTGGACTGGGTGGCCCTTGTGATCTCTTCCAACTCCATGATTAAATACTGTATATAGAAATGTAACTTCTTTTATGGCAAGCTGTCATGATGTCTTTCAAACAGTAATACTCATGCCATTTCTCCCATGGCTTCTATATCCACGGTCTGCACCTATGCCTGTCTATGCCCTAATGCCAAACCATGAGATCTAGGCACCTGAAACTAGCAAGTATACCAAGGGGACCCTAGGGTGTGCACTTCAATTTGCTTGGTTTCCTAAAATAAGTTAATTCTAGTTACATTGAGTTTGATTATAGCCTGAATCTTTAGTCTCTATGTGGTAGGCTTCCTTAACCTCCAAAGATGATTAAGTTGCAGTTTGGCTTGTTAGTTTTTCTAGAAGGCCTTGAGATAGGTCCAAAATGCACAACCCAAAAAGGCAAAGTAGAAAAAAGAGGAAGAAGAAAAAAACCCAGAGAAATATACATAGAATGGGGAGAAAGCAGAGATAGCGACAGATGTAGAAAAACACATGGATGCAAAGGAATACATTTCACTCTGTAAGAAAGAGAGAACATTGGGGTATGTGAAAGAGCTTATTTTTGTGTAGTAGGTAGAGAAGAAAAAAGTTTCTTCCTTATACCTTCCCTGGGTATAGGTTGAGGCACTAAGGACTTCATCCCACAGAACAGGTCAAGTGTTTGGGAGTGTAGGTTTTCCATAAAGCTTCAGCATACTCCGTTTTGAAATTAAATGGAAGATTTTCTTACCTCCATAACACCTAATCGTTCTCTCCACTTTCGTGAAGATTTATTGGTTTCATTTAACATCAGATAGTAAAGACTTGTTTGCCCCCTGTCCCTCTCCCATTTTTTTTCTTTTTTTAACTTCTCTCTTTCTCGGGAGTTCAACTTACAGCCCGGAAAAGCAACAACCTATAGAAGGGTTATTCTTGTGTTCTTACAGGAAAATGAAGCTTTAGCTCTCTTAATCTCTCTCTGCCGTCCTTTTGATAGGCACAAGCGGCACAGCAGAAGTTTCAGGCAAGTGTTCAAAAGGACTATTATGACCCGAAACAGGAAGAGGGAACTGAAAGCTTGTTCAGGTTATAGAGACAGAAAGTACAGGATTTGCATGCTTGCTATTTTCTTCTAAACGTTTTGGATATCTTGCTTGCTATACTTCCTCAGTCCCAAAATGGTAATAGTGACAGAAAGGAATCGATTCTGCCCATCTCAGGTCCTCCCTCCACAATGATGTCATTGTTTTATTTACAAATGTTCAAGGGGGGATTCCCATTATATGGCAAATAGGGTGTTTTTACAAGTCTATATTTGGGGAATGGAGAAATTCGTTGCTTGTCAATCAACTCAGGAATTGTGGGAAAACCCCACACTTTAAAAATAGCAAGATACCTTTGCCCCACATTTGAAGCTTGCGTCATGTGAAGGGCATCATTGGTGGCAATTTCTTAAGTGTGTAGAAACATTTATGTTATTGTGTGTGATGAAGTCATAAGAGGTTCTTAGCCTATACGAAACTGGGTGCTTCTGGTTTTCTATTTAAAGCAATGAAATAACAATCTGCCAGCTTCATACTGGACATAATCAATGAAAGGAACTACTTTATAGAAAGTATTTTACCCGTGTTTGCTATTTTTACTGCAAACTTCTCTGCTTCAATATTTTAAGTTGACAAATGAAACCAGGCTCTAATATTTGTCTTCAGGTTGCACCAGAAGCAACTAATGTACCAAAGTCAAGCTGAAGATCCATCTGTATCTTCATCTCTGCACAAAGGGCTGCCTGCTACTAGTGAGCCGAACAGTCCGGTCCACAGGCCACAAATAATGACTGAAAGTGGTAAGATTCTCACTCTTCTGTTACTGGAAATTGGACCCTTATACACAAGTTAATAATAACAATTTCTGTTGGCTAGGGATCAAACAGTCATAGAACAGGGGCATTAGGAAAAATCTACATCTTTATGTTACATTACATTATTTACAACAAATGGGGAGTTGAACCTAAACGTCTGGGATTCTGGGCTACTGATAGATGGATCTGTAATATAAAATGAAATAGGTAAAGATTTCTTCTTTCAACCAAAACATGCAAAATGTCTTGAGCAGCTGTGTCACTTTATTTTGTCTCAAGTTCTGAGTCTTTCTCAGTGCAATCTTGCTTTATCCTTTTATCACTCTATGAATGAAACACCAGTGTTTGATTTCTTTTTGCTTTATTGTGATTGTTCTCACAGTTAGAGATCTTTTAAAAGATAAGGTGTTGTTTTCTAGTGTAACTTCTCTACAGTCCTCAGCCATCAAGGTAAGGTGCCCCCTTGGAGTAGTTTTTGATGCAGAACCTGTAAACTCTTTAATGGGTCAGGTCAAATTTATTTCCTAGGTTTTGTCTTGTTCATACTGGAATTTGACAGAATGTAGGAAGCTTTTATGAATACAGTGGGCCTTCCTGATCTGTGTTTTCCTGATCCACATTTTCAACTGATCACAGCTAGTCACAGCCACTACTTAAAATGGCAGTGATGTTCACACAGACCATTTGTCATCACCATTTAATAATATGGGGCACCACCATTTGCATTATTGCCATCTGCAGTGGGTCCCAGAACCGAATCCCAATGGATCTAGAGTGCCCATTGTATATTCAAGACCACCCTTGGGCACAATAGAGACCTTTTCCTCTCCTTCATGACATGGCTGATCTTCAGCTTTAGTATACATTGTCCTGCAATTACTCCAGTTGCTGGACTGGTGTATATTGAAAGTAACGGAGGTGGGGGACGTTGAAGTAATGGCTAACAGGAAGATGCTCTCAGGGAGCCAGTTCTGCTTATTAGTGTGTTAGTGCATAATTGGTGTCTGACAAAATACATAATTATACAAGGCCTTATAGTCCATTTCTATTTCATTTACGTTTCCCAGAACCTGTTATCAAGAAGAATACTTGGGTTGCAATAAAATCCAATGATGACCAATCCTATGCACTCAAGAATGTGTCCCCAGCTTCAGTGCAGGCTGAAATAAGTACTTGTGAGGATTTTTATTTGGATGACATACAAACTGATGAAGACAAATTGAACAGTAGTCTTCTGTCCTCTGAGTCAACTTTTATGCCAGTTGCTTCAGGACAGTCTCCCGTATCTCCTAGTGTTGGAGAACAGAGGCTTCAAGGAATAGGTGCTGATATGGAGGATGCAGGGGCTGCCGATTTGGAGATTAATAAACAAGATAAAGAAAAAGATAAGACTATGGTTCTTGGAGAGTATGCCATCAAATCGGCAAACATTATAAAAACTCAAAAAGAAGATCAAGACAAGATCACATTGACCAGTTCTAGTTTATCAGTAGCCACTGTCACTCTACCTGCTAGCATTAGCAGTTGTCAAGCACCTCCTGAAGACCATCTGGAGCAGAATGGCCTCAAGCAATCGAGTGCAGCTGAAGAGAACTTAATCAAAACTGTCACCTCTGCCAAACCTCTTGAAGATGTATCTGCCAAGCCTCCTGATGTATCTACATTAATTAAAGGAGAAGATGTGCTTGAAGAAATGAACAGAGCAGCCATCAAGCTTCAAGCCTGTTGGAGAGGATTTTATACAAGGAACCATAATCTCAAAGCCAAGGAGGTGCGCTATGAGATTAGACTCAGCAGAATGCAGGAGCACATTATACATTTAACAGAAGAAATCAACCAGTAAGTGGCCAGCCATTTTCAAGATGAACGTTCACAATGTAGAAATTACATCGTTGCAATTGGAGGTTAATCTTTAAACTTTACCTTGTTTACAATGACTCTTGAACAGTAGCAGGATGCAGCTGTTCTACTCTCCTCCGTTGATAAGGGTGTATGTTTTAATGTGTTGTTTCTTATTCTGTGTTCAGGGCAAGTTAAATAGGTACAATACATTTGATTGGTTGTCTCTACCAGAGTAGATAGATGAACTAAATGGGAACTTGGTGAGTTCGTACCTTTTTAAATTCTTTTAATATAGTGGATCTACAATTGGGAGTAGAATTTATTTATTATTTATTTATTTACTATATTTCTATACCGTCCTTCTCAGCCCGAGGGTGACTCAGTGCGGTTTACAAGGCCAGCACAGTTTGATGCCGCAAAATATAAACAGTTAAAAGCATATAAACTTCCATAAAATTCCATAAACAATAAAATCAATAAAACATAAAAACATAAATCCTTCGTATCTAATTTCCAGAATCTTTATCCGATTGCAATTGTCCAGGTACCGCTTTGGCGGGAAGTTAAAGGCACTCCATACAGTCATGCTGGCCACATAACCTTGGAGGTGTCTACGGACAATGGCAGCTCTTTGGCTTAGAAATGGAGATGAGCACCACCCCCAGAGTCGGAAATAATTTGACTTAATGTCAGGGGAAACCTTTACTAATAATACTTTTGATTTTTAATATACAAGAAGTGTAGAACATCCAATGGAATCCACAGAAAAAATAAGAGTACTGTCACAAGAGGCACAGTGTTGGGTCTCCCTAAGAGAAAATAGCAGGAGTGAAGAGTCTCAGCAAAGGCTTGGCACTCAGTTAGTGCTGCCCTAGATGCTAGCACTGAATAATCTACTTCCTTAAATAAGGCTAGCAGTGATCACTCACTTTGTGACAGGTTTCCAAAATAGCTCAAAGACTGTTCATTGAATCCAGACTGCTTCTCTGCAGGCCCTGCATTTGAGAAACTGTCTTTTGATAGAAAAGCTTTTCTACTGATAAACAGTCCATCTTTTGAGCAACTTGAGTTCTGTCTCTTGTTGGCTGGGTGATGATAATTATGACAGTTATGACACTTTAATTTTTAAATAAGGGTTTATATGATGTTTACGTAAAATTGTTTGTATATTTACATTGCTATTGTTTTATATGCTCATGTATTTTTCTGTGTGTTGCACCTTTGTGTGCTTTTGTGAGCTACCTCAAATACCCTTGGGGAGATGGTGGTGAAATATAAATAAAGTTTTATTATTATTATTAATGATTAGTAGTACAAAATTATACAGTTCATCGTTACCTAGTAAGTGTGTAATACTTACCTTCCAAAAGCCATTCTTGCAAGTCAATGGAAGAGTTAATCTATTACTTCAGTAAACATGTTTGGAAGGATCTATAACCATATTAAATGTATCTGCCATTTGTAGATTAAGGAAAGAAAAGGATGAAGAGAAACTTCAAAGACTTGTGCAAGAAGAAGCTGTTAAATTCCTTTGGAACCAGGTAAAAAATCATACCTTTAAATCATTTTCTAACTCCATATCAATAAAAAAACTAAGGCACCATAGAGAATAAATGGAAGAGAACTTTGTGTTGCAATCTCCGGTTGAGCTAAGGGATATTTCATAAAGAACACATTTTCTTATGCATATTACTTTTGTGTGTTGTCGAAGGCTTTCATGGCCAGAATCCCTGGGTTGCTGTGAGTTTTCCAGGCTGTATGGCTATGTTCCAGAAGCATTCTCTCCTGATGTTTTGCCCAAATTTATGGCAGGCATCCTCAGAGGTCATGAGGTCTGTTGGAAACTAGGCAATTGGGGTTTAGATAGCTGTGAAATGTCCAGGGTAGGAGAAAGAACTCATGTCTGTTTGAGGCAAGTGTGAATGTTGCAATTGACCAGCTTGATTAGCATTGAATAGCCATGCAATTTCAAAACCTGCCTGGGGAAATCCTTTGTTGCGAGGTGTTAGCTGGCCCTGATTGTTTCCTGTCTGGAATTTCCCGTTTTCTGAGTGTTGCCTAGTTTCCAACAGACCACGCAACCTCTGAGGATGCCTGCCATAGATGTGGGTGAAACATCAGGAGAGAATGCTTCTGGAACATGGCCATACAACCTGGAAAACTCACAGCAACCCAGTGATTCTGGCCATGAAAGCCTTCAACAACACAGCAAGGGCATCTACCTGGAACATGGAAAACTCACAGCAACCCAATATTGCTTTTGGCTATATATCTTCAAGAGGGTGAGAGAAACTGCATGTTCACCAATACATGATATGCTTTTATGCCTCTTTCACTAATACTGTAATTTTTTTCTCTCTGTGGTATTTACAGGTTAGATCTATCCAGGAGTGGCAGCTTTCAGTAAACCCACATCTGAGTGCTCTCTGGCAATGTGATAATCCAGCATCGAACATTTTGAATCCCCCCAAGCTATCCATGGACTCTTCAGGACTCAATCAAAGGTCCTCTCCTGTTGATAGTTCAACGTGGCTAGTTTCAGCTGCTGAGGCTGGTCATCCAAAATATACACCACAGTTTCCTGACTCAGGCTTCCATTCCTGTGTGACAGACCAGAATTGCCTTAACGAATCAAAGTGCCCTGAAGAAACATGGGGGAGAGTTGATGAAAGCTCCCTGGGGAATTCTTTGGAAACAGTCAAACCAAATGAAGATGCCCTTCCAGGATGTCCCTCAGAAACTGAGATTATCTATAAGGAATGCAGTGAAGTGAGCTTCAGTAGCGATCAAGACAATAGTCTTCTCCAGCAGTATTTAAAGTCAGTTGAGCAGTTAGATAGGGCTGATGACAAGACAAGTTGTAGCAGTGAAGCAGAAAATAGCAGGCCTCCCACAGCCCTTTCGTCAGAAGACCCAAACATTGGATGTAGTGCTGGGTTAGGCTCTCAAGAAGTGCGTGCGTCAACACAAGATGGAATTGACCATTCATCAGAAATCTGTCATTTGAAAGACAATGAGGCAGAAGGAAAACAGACAGATTGTGACACTTCATTCCAGGCATTTGCTGTTAGCATATCTGTGTAGCAGATCCACACTTTTTGTTATTATTTATACACGTTTTCTATACTTTGGGGAAGGAAGGAATGAGGGAGGCATGTTCTTATGGACTGTTGGAACAAATTTGATGGTGAACTGTTTTGCTAATCCTAATCTCTAACACTGTGTTAAATTGTAACAGGTATGTTTCACTATGATTAATACAGTGCACTTATTTTTTAATGTGATTTGAACAATGACAGGTTTCTAAGTAATATAATTTAAAAGATTCTGACTCCTTTTCATATTATCATGGTTGAACTAAGAAGTTATCCCCCGTGAAGAAAGATGAAGAATACAGTCTTACTATGATACTCATTTTAATAAAATATAGGGGAAAATTATGAATACTTGTAATATGAGACATATAGGAAGACAAGGCATTCACAATTAATGATAGGTTTTGACCAACAGTTTGAAAATATAATCTTCAACTCAGGAACTAAGCCATAATCTTACTGTATTTGCTCTCTCTGTTGCATGTATGCAGTAGGTGGGAGTTTAATTTTAGCCCTCCTGTGAATACCAAAATCCGTGGGTGCTTAAGCTCCATTATATACAATGCCATAGTAAAATGGTGTCCCTTTTATAAAATAGAAAAAAAGTTTCCTTTTTGGGTTTTAAAAAAATGAATTTAAAGCTGTGGATAGTTAAATCTGTAGCTTCAGGATCAGTGGATAGAGACCAACTATGTATCAAAACTTGAAATACTACATTTCAAAAGTCGCTTGTTACTTTACTCATTGCTCTGATCAGGCAATACATTGTTACAGTTAAACTTCAGTCCAGAAAGGTAACTCATTTTTATATGGATTTGCCATAATATATAGGCAAATTTACTCTGGTTCCCCAAAGTAAGTCAAATCAGATAATACACTTTGAAAATTCTGAGAAAAAATGCATGCAAAATGAACCACTCCTTCCTAGCTGCAGCGTGAAGCAGATACCTTTCTGCCTTTTCCCATTGCTCAGATTGAATAAGGCATATCAGGTCATGCATGAATAACAAGCAGCAAACTTATTCCATTCCACTGAGTAGTAGTGAATTACAACTTACTTACTTAGGCAATCCCTCACAGCCCGAGGATGATGGCCCTCCAAGTGTAGTGTCTTGGCGGTGGATACGTAGGTGGCTGTGGAGACCTATTCTTGATCCACATGTTCTTCCACAGTGAGAACATCAGTATCCAGGTGGTTCCAGTCAGGATTGCCTTGCACCTTCCTCTTGGCACATTTCTCCTTTTTGCCCTACATTCTTGCCTCTACAGCCATGATAACTACAGCCATGACAAGCAACTAATTGCCAATGTGACACAAGAACAAATGGCTTATGTCCTAGCTCTGGTACGTTTCTTTTTTTAATAAAATATTTACTTACTTGTACATACCTTACTCGTACACAAATTATGCTTTTCCAGAACTCAGGGAAAGTGTTCTCTAAAGGTGATGGATGCAGCAGGAGATGTTAAGGGCTAAAGAGGAAGAGAAGTCACCCTCTAGCATTACATTCCAGAGTTTTCTAAGTGAGGGTTGCTGGTAGAATTATTTTTATTGATTACATAGCAGAAAGTCGGTCATATGGGTGGGTGCGCCTTTTAGTTGTGTACAGTGAGCTGTATTAATTTGACAATTGAACTGTAAGAAGGATGGGCTGAATATATATAAATTGCCTTGGTAGATGTCCTTGTTAGTAAGAAGGCAACAGGGCTGTGATTAGAGCTGATTGCTAAAAAAAAAAAAAAGAACAATTCCTTATTAGAAAAACCATCCTTACTGCATTACAGAGACCTTTGGGTCTTGAGCTTTCCCAAGAGATGGCATGCAGACTGTGTTTTTCTCTTTAGAAAATTGCCAAAATTGCCATGGGGAATTTTGCTGTAATCATAGAAAGAGGCAGTTTGTCAAAGTGCTCATCACTTCAACTTGAACCTTCAGGTGTACTACTGTTGTATTTTGGAATTCAAGGTTTTATGCTGTGATCTTGTATTAGAAAAAGGAAGATGAATGGGAGAAGGCTCAGTTGGCAATTTGCTTAGAGCAGTGGTCCTCAACCTGTGGGTCCCCGGGTGTTTTGGCCTACAACTCCCAGAAATTTATTTATTTATTTATTTACTTTGCTTATATACCGCTGTTCTCAGCCCGAAGGCGACTCACGGCGGTTCACAGCAATAAGAGACAGCAAAAATTCAATGTACAGTATAAAAACAGTTAACAGCCTAATCCATTACACAATTAATAACAATAAACAATTAACCAGCCAGTTTACCAGCTGTTAGGATTTCTGGGAGCTGAAGTCCAAAACATCTGGGGACCCACAGGTTGAGAACCACTGATTTAAAGAGTCTTTAACCCTTATCTCGGCTGCCTTTGTTCAAGATAGCCCTTTTTTTTTCATATTGCAATCTTTACTCCTTCACTCATTCTTCCCTTATTTTGAAATGTCTTGGCATTATGAGAAGTCGCTTTCGTAGTATGTGTAGATTATAGTCCCATTCCAGTTCTAAATATGAAATTAATCCCTGTACATAAAGCAGAACCACATAAATCCATTATGTAGATAAGAAATTGATTGATTAAATTACTATTCTATGCTAGAGAAAGAGATGGCTGAGCACAAAACTTTCAGTGGGAAAATTACTTTAAGTGTATGCTTGAATTTCACCCTTCAAAATTGATAGGCGTTAAATAGGATTAATTTTGACTGTTTTAAACATTCTATACAATTATCTTTATAAAAGTAAATGTCTTTTCATGAAAAACAAAGGGATTAAGCACATCTGCCTTCCACTTAGCTTAATAAAACTTGTCTTCCATTCCTACAGAAATCGAATGAGAATGGAAAGATCCAGCATTTTAGATCATGCATCCTCAAACTGTGGCCCTCCAGCTGTTTGGGCCGTCAACACCCAGAATCCCTGACAATTGAACAAGCTTGTTAGGGCTTCTGGGAGTTGGAGGCCCAAACAGCTGGAGGGCCGCAGCTTGAGGATGTTTCTTTTAAATGGTTGGACAGTTGCAGAAAACAGAGAGGTGGAGTACAAATATTGACAGAACACTGAAATAAAACCAAAATTAAAAAATAGATAATGTAGCAATTTTAATACCTCCCCAGAAAGACAAAAGGTTTTTGTCAGTGCCATAACAATTCTACAGAAAACCACATTTACAAGTAAGCTTCGGGATTTCCATAGTTTTTATTTATGGCAATGGAGCTTGAAAAGTCATGCACAAAGGTTTTCCCTTGCAAATCTATATGTACTTCATACAAGGGTGTGTGTGTGTGAATTTTTTTATTATCATTTTTGCTATTCACATCTGCACATGTGAAGATAATACACAATATAAAATACGAAGGTCTACTCTTTCCAGCTTTGGCATACTAAAAAGTTCTGTTTGGTATGCTTTGCTTGCATAGAATGTAGGTATCAGTTACAGGACTTTGGTCACCTTCTACAGACCTACCTGTAACTCATATAAATATATGTAAACATGCAGAAAAAAAGCTGCGGCATTGCATAGAGCAAATATTAAGAAAAGTTTTGAGAGAAGTAAAAGTAAATTGCAAGTGTCCAAATTAGCACAGGAAACGACTTAGTTCCTTTTGAACTATTGCTGAATTCGTAAAATGTGGATGTGTATTTATGTGTAACAGAGAAAGAGCTTTCTTTTTGCCAAAAGAACTGTAAGAAGTATGAAAACTTTTTCAGGCATTTGATTTACTGTTTCCAGTGGGTTACATGCATCATTATTAGACCATGAATGTAGTATAATCCACATATCCGTGAGTGATATTCTAGACTCTGACTTGATACGCAAAACCACAAACCATAGTGAATCCTATTGAAATGAAGCCCCAGAACACCAGAGTCATGCTGGAGGACCTAGAAAATGTTGAGAGAGACTGTGTCTTAGCAAAGAGAATAGATGAAGCCATGGCTACCAGTCCCATGGATACAGAGGTCATACTCTAGTTTGGTGGTTCTCAACCTGTGGGTCCCCAGGTGTTTTGACCTACAACTTCCAGAAATCCTAGCCAGTTTACTAGCTGTTAGGATTTCTGGGAGCTGAAGGCCAAAAAAAACTTCTGGGGACCCACAGCTTGAGGACCACTGGTCTAATTCTTGTTAGACACAGTTATGTCTTATTGAGTCTAGGATCCCATGGCATTTATTTATTTTTTTGCTTGTATGGGAATTATCTGCTAGTTCCCACCAATCACCATAAAACTGGTGGAGGGGACAGTAAGGAGTTATGATCATCACCATAGTGGTGCTACATAAAACTCATAGTTCTGTGTTATTGAGATGCTTGTTTCTCATAATGCCTCTCCCCCCACACTTTTTAACAAGGCCACACTCTGCAAAAAGTTTCTTTTTTAAATGTGCATTAAAATATAATCTATCTTTATTTCCTGCTGAACAGCCTTGAGCACTGGACTACCAACTCTGGAGACCGGGGTTCAAATCCCTGCTCAGCCATGAAAACCCGCTAGGTGACCTTGGGCAAATCACTTTCTCATCCTCAGAGGAAAGCAGAGGAAACCACTGAACAAATCATGGCAAGAAATTTTTTAAAGGGTCACCATACGTAAAATAATTTGGAAGACCCAGAACAAGCAGTCGCCTCATAACTCTGTGTGCGTTTTCAAGTGATTTATTTAAAGTTCTCTCTAGCATTTCTTTTCTTTTATGCACTATATTTAAACTCCAGTCATGTATCTAGATATTTATTAAAATCAAATAGTCTGCTTTTTTAGTAAATATTTTAGGACTGTGCATTTTCATCTTGGCCCTCAATTTTTTAAACAAAAGAAGCTGGGAATATTATATATTGGTAATAATAACATGAGCAGAATTGAAAAGTTCAGCAAGTCCTGTGAAAGGTCTTCAGAGCTTTCAGAAAGACATAGTGCTTAAGATTATGCCTTTCTTTTTTATATAAAAAAGCAACACAGGAGGGCCTGAGAGAAACATGTACATTTGTGTCCATGAATGGCTGTTACCATTATGAAAAAAGGCAATATTATTTATTTCAATTTGCTCAGTCAGGAACAAATGTAAGTATTATTCACTTTAAACTGAAAGTGTAATATGAGTTTTATAACATTGTTTTTTACCAAAAGAAAATGGTCTGCATGCTCCAGTTCTTGCAGATTTGCAATTCTGATTAACTTGCATTGATGTAACAGAATAAACACGTTTTCCAAATTATGCAGGATGCTCTCTCTTTTATGGATTATTCTTGATTTATTTTTGTTCCTGCTGTGGCTTCTTGAGCCTTCTGTTCCCAATTCAACAGTTTGAAAGTTTCACATGAAGTCAGTCAGTGTGATGAAACCAGTGTCATTTGTGTACAACTTCTAGGTACTAGAGCTTTTAATTTTTTAAAATTTATTTTATCATAATTCAATACATGTGTTATACATTGTTTGTTTTACAGCAGACACATAATATCCAATACAATCTACCATAAATTAACTTTTGGCATCTACTGTTATTTTCTGTCCCTCACCACCATGTTTCCCTCCCCCTGAGCCACTGTTTTTATATATCATCTGTCCAAAATTTCATTTCCTCTTGTGGAGGTAACTTCCCATCTTCCTTTTAGAATCCTTTTTCTCTGTTGTCTTAACTATGTCTGTTGGAGGTAGGTGTGAATGTTGGGCCCTCCTACAGGAGAGACCCTGGGGCTTGAGTATTTGCCATCCAGCTTAGCTGCTCGCTCAGCCCTGGGCTTACCCACGAGGAGACCTGCAGCCACACTCACATTCCAGCCAGTGGATGCAACAGGCTCCAAGTAGAGAACATGACTCCCACCGCTTGCCACACAGCTACTTTAACAGCCACGCCACCCATCGTCCAGATATTGGAACACCTGTGCGGGTGCTCGTTTTCGGGCTTCCCCAGCCTTGCTTGTTGCCTGCTGCTTCTGGCCGTTTGTTCCATCAGCCCACTTTGGCTGGGATTAAATGTTTACTTTTAAGATGTTTTATTATATTTTGATTGAATTGTGTAATTGATTGTTTAATTGATATGTCATCAGTCCACTTCGGTTGGGATTGAATGTTTAATTTTAAGCTTTTTATTGTATTTATATTTGAATTGTTCAAATGATATGTCATGTTTATTACTGTAGTTTTAAATTGATATGCTAATTGTTTAAATTGTTATATCATATTTATCATTATATGTGTAGTGCGGCGGTCTGTAAGCCATCCTGAGTCCCCCATTGGGTGAGAAGGACAGGGTATAAATGTTCTAAAATAATAATAATAATAATAATAATAATAATAATAATAATAATAATAAAGGCCACCTTACTGGGATCTGCTCGCATTATCCGCCGATACATCACACAGTCCTAGACACTTGAGAAGTGTCCGACGTGTGATCCAATACAACAGCCAGCAGAGTGTCTGCTGTGGACTCATCTTGCTGTGTTTCAAATAATAATAATAATAATAATAATAGTAATAATAATAATGTTTCAGTTGGCCACCTTGATTAGCATTTGATGGCATTACAGTTTTTAGGTGTGGCTTGTTACAGCCTGGGGGAATCCTTTGTTGAGAGATGATTAGCTGTCCCTGATTGTTTCTTATCTGGAGTTCCCCTGTGTTTGAGTGTTGTTCTTTATTTATACTGTTATAATTTTAGAGTTTTTTAAATACTGGTAGCCAGATTTTGTCCATTTTCATGGTTTCTTCCTTTCTGTTGTCCAACAGACAAGAGTTTTTTCTCCCACCCTGAACTTTCCACAGATATATAAACCCAATTTTCCTAGTTTCCAACAGACCTTGCAACATATTGTCGAAGGCTTTCATGGCCGGAATCACTAGGTTGTTGTAGGTTTTTAGGGCTGTGTGGCCATGTTCCAGAAGCATTCTCTCCTGACATTTCACCTGCATCTAGAGCAGGCATCCTCAGAGGTTGTGAGGTCTGTTAGAAACTAGGAAAATGGGGTTTATATCTCTGTGAAAGAACTCTTGTTTGTTGGAGGTAGGTGTGACTGTTTCAATTGGCCACCTTGATTAGCATTGAATGGCCTAGCAGTTTCAAGGTGTGGCTTCTTACTGCCTGGAGCAGGCCCGTAGCCAGGATTTTGATTTGGGGCGGGGGCTGACTTTGATTTGGGGTGGGGGGCTGGGGATCTACCTTAGCAAACCTTTTGTATCATTGTCCCAATACCCCCATGCATATGGGATATATTGAGCATGGTGATCATATCATGATATGAATAAACATAACAGTTTAAATAATGTACCAGTAAGGCCTTCTCGCGGACCACCCTGAGAAGCCCCTCAAGCCTTTCCCTGGCTACATGCCTGGCCTGGGGGAATCCTTTGTTGAAGGGTGATTAGCTGTCCCTGATTGTTTTTTGTCTGGAGTTCCCTTGTGTTTGAGTGTTGTTCTTTATTTACTGTTATAATTTTAGAGTTTTGTAATACTGGTAGCCAGATTTTGTTCATTTTTATGGTTTCATCAGGGCCAGCTAACACCTCCCAACAAAGGATATCCCCAACAACAACAACAAAACTTTATTTATATACCGCTTTATCTCCCCAAGGGGACTCAGAGCGGTTTCCAAGTAACATAATCAATATATACAAAGAAAACAGCATAAACATAAAATTAACAAGACAGTATAAGCATTAAAAACCACAATAGAACATGTGTTTAAAATAATCCTGCCTGTTTAAGGCAGTTTAAAAGGCCGGGCTAGTGCGATTTTAGAGGGCCCGGGAAATTAGGGAGAGTCTATGGCTGTACATTTCCAGGGCCTAATAGAAGAAAGTGACCTGGGTAATTGGTAGAAAAAGATATGGCCAATTTCAACAGTATCTGGGGCTGAGCTAGAACTAGTCGTTCTCAAAGGCTTGTTTAAACCACCAGATCTTCAGGCTCTTATGAAAGGAGGAGAGGGATGGGGTCTGTCTTATTTCTCCAGGAAGGGCGTTCCAGAGGTGGGGGGCCACCACTGAGAAGGCCCTCTCTCTCATCCCCACCAACCATGCTTGTGACAGTGGAGGGAACAAAAGGAGGGCCTCCCTGGAAGATCTTAAAGTTTGTGCCAGTTCATAAGGGGAGATGCGTTCCAGAGGCGAGGGGCCACCACCGAGAAGGCCCCTCTCTCATCCCCACCAACCATGTTTGTGACAGTGGAGGGAGCAAAAGGAGGGCCTCCCCGGAAGATCTTAAAGTTTGTGCCGGTTCACAAAGGGAGATGCGTTCCAAAGGTGGGGACCACCACTGAGAAGGCCCTCTCTCTTGTCCCACCAACCGTGCAGGATGAGAAGCAGACAAGCTTTGAAGCTGCAAGGCTATTCAATGCTAATCAAGCTGGTCAATTGCATCAATCATATTTGCCTCCAACATACAAGAGTTCTTTCTCCCACCCTGGACTTTCCACAGATATTTGTTGTTCATTCGTTCAGTCGTTTCCGACTCTTCGTGACCTCATGGACCAGCCCATGCCAGAGCTCCCTGTCGGCCGTCACCACCCCCAGCTCCTACAAGGTCAGTCCAGTCACTTCAAGGATGCCATCCATCCATCTTGCTGCTCAGATATATATATAAACCCCATTTTCCTAGTTTCTAACAGACCTCACAACCTCTGAGGATGCCTGCCACAGATGCAGGCGAAACGTCAGGAGAGAATGCTTCTAGCCTGGAAAACCTACAACAACCCTGGGGCCTGACAAGCCTATCACACGGACCCAAATGTGACATTATCTTCTGCATGTTTTGCAGTGCCGGAAGCTAAATTGTCTTGACGCATCATGTTTCTGCAAAAGCAACACAGAATGGAAAGCCACCGCCCAAGGCAACCCTATGGCAAGTCAAGGATGCCGAGGAACCGCCCAGGCGCACGGATGCTTGGGCTGATAGTTGCGCCCAATGGAAGGAACGAGCCAAGAGGCGAAAGGGGAGCAGCAGTTCCTCCCAAGCTCCCCCCCCCTAATTCGGGGTGGTCTCGTCCATCTCGCTCTTGGGAGCCCGCCCCTCCATGGGAAAGCAGCCAATCAGAGAAGAAGAGCGCTGAGCGAGGGGAGGTGGGCGAGGCCAGCGCGAGAGGGAGGGGGCTGCTCCTCTGCTGCCTCCTTTTGCCTCTGGGAGGGAGAGAGGAAGGCAAAGGCAGGCTGGGCACGGCTGGAAATCCTGGGCTTCTGAGTGGGGTGAGTTGGGGTCTTGCTGGGAGCTTGTTCCCTTTCTCCATTGGGTGCAAGGGTCTTAATTCCTGTGATTTAGAAGCTGTACAAGATTTGACGCAGAGATTGCATGGTGTGAGTGTTGCAGAAGGAATTGATGAGATTCTGTCTTGATCTCATGGGCTGCAGCATTATTTTGAAAACATTTTTTTGCTATTATTATTTTGCTGAGATTGCTTTTGATTAGAAGGCTAGGTTAATGTTTGATGCTCATCTCCCCCTTTTCATTAATTACAATTAATCTTCACTTCTTCCCTAATTTGTGGGTTTTTTTAGTGTATAATAAACTATATTTTTAGATGAGATTAGAAGTCCAAGTTAGTTTTTGATGCTCATCTCCCGCTTTTCATTAATTACAATTAATCCTCACTTCTTCCCTAATTTGTCTTCTTTTTTTAGTGTATAATAAACTATATTTTTAGATGAGATTAGAAAGCTAGGTTAGTTTTTGATGCTCATCTCTTCCTTTTCATTAATTACAATTAATCCTCACTTCTTCCATAATTTGTCCTTTTTTTAGTGTATAATAAACTATATTTTTAGATGAGATTAGAACTCCAGGTTAGTTTTTGATGCTCATCTCCCCCTTTTCATTAATTACAATTAATCCTCACTTCTTCCCTAATTTGTGCTTTTTTTAGTGTACAATAAACTATATTTTTTAGATGAGATTAGAAGACTAGGTTAGTTTTGGATGCTCATCTCTTACTTTTCATTAATTACAATCCTCACTTCTTCACTAATTTGTCCTCTTTTTTTTGTGTATAATAAACTATATTTTTAGATGTGGTTAGAAAGCTAGGTTAGTTTTTGATGCTCATCTCCCCCTTTTCATTAATTACAATTAATCCTCACTTTCCCTCTAATTTGTCTTTTTTTTTTTAGTGTATAATAAACTATATTTTTAGATGGGATTAGAGGGCTAAGTTAATTTTTGATGCTCATCTCTTCCTATTAATTTATTATTATTATTTACTTTATTTATATACCGCTTTTCTCAGCCTTCAGGCGACTCAAAGCGGTGAACAACATCGATACAAAACATCACGAGACAAGTATAGGGCAATTAAAAACAGTTGTAACATAAATCATTACAATTAATCCACACTTCTTCCCTAATTTGTGCTTTTTTTTAGTTTCTAATAAACTTTATTTTTAGACTGCCCTATCTCCCCAGAGGGACTCAGGGCAGTTTACATATACAGAGGCAAACATTCAATGCCCAACATATAGCAAAACATTACAGCAGTAGAACATAATGCAAAATAATAATGGCATTATGCTAATCAAATAAAATTAAATGTCAAAATAAAGACATAAAACAGCTGGAAATGTTTTTTTTAAATATAGTTATTTATATCAATATATTATGTAGTGTAAATATTGTTATATAATATTTATATAGTAATTATAATTGTATAAGACATTACAGTAATAGAACATAATGCAAAATAATAACAGCATTATACTAATCAAATACAATTAAATATCAAAATAAAGACATAAAACAGCTATAATTGTATTATTAATATAGTTATTTATGCTAGTATATAGTATATATGTAGTATAAATACTACATAATGTTTATATTATAATAATAATCATCATATAATTTTTTTAGTAATATAGTTCACCATAACAGCCAAACAACACAACACAACGTATTACAAACCATACACAAACCCGAAACTCAACCCACACAGAATAAAATCATGTCCATGCACACATCACCGTGACTTCCATCATTAAAGCACTGTGAAGCCTAAAAGCCAGTTCATCTATCCTTGTTCATAATCTAATCATAGATTCTTAATTGTGCTTTTTTTTTCCTCCTGCAGTTTTCAGGTCAGATACAGAATGGAGGGGGTAAAAAGGATGCAGTGACTTCCCCAAAGCATCCTTGGGTGCATTTACACTGCAGAATTATTATTAATGCAGTTTGACATCACTCAGTGTTATGGATGCAGCCAATATTAGGTACTTCCTAATGTATCCCCCCAGTGGCGCAGTGGGTTAAACCTCTGAGCTGCTGAACTTGCTGACCTAAAGGTTGGCAGTTCAGATCCAAGGAACGGGGTGAGCTCCCACTGTTCGCCCCAGCTTCTGCCAACCTAACAGTTCGAAAACATGCAAATGTGAGTAGATCAATAGGTACCACTATGGCGGGAAGGTAACGGTGCTCCATGCTGTCATGCTGACCACATGACCTTGGAAGTGTCTATGAACAATGCCAGCTCTTCGACTTAGAAATAGAGATGAGCATCACCACCCCAGAGTCGGACACGACTAGACGTAATGTCAAGGGGAAACTTTTACTTAAAGTATAACAAATGAAAGGATGCAGTGACTTGTCCAAACCAGTCGTGTGCATCTGATGGTTGAGCTGGGATTTTGAACACAACTACCCAGATTGCTAAATTACAACCCAGGGTTGTAATTTACCTCTTGGTCCAAAGCTAAAGTTACAGAGAGGCTTTCTTTTTCACTGAGTTTGTCCTTCTTGCTCCCTTCCTGACAATGCAAACCCTTTTGGTGCCGTTGCTGAAATTTTAGGCCTTTGTTTCAGAATTTCCAAATGGCTTTCGGCCAGATAGAATGGCTTTTGCAATCATGGATCTTATTGAAAAAGTAAATGTAAAATGGATCTGGATCTACTTGAAATCTTCAAGCTCAGCAAGGATTTTTTGAGTTTTAATAGTGTTGTTGTTTGTTATTGTTATATCTCTTCAAGTCATTTTCATCTTATGGCAACCCTAAGGCAAAACTGTTACGAGGTTATCTTGATAAGAGCTGTTCAGAGAGGGTTTGTCATAGTCTTCCTCTGAGGCTGTTTGTTGCATTCCACTTAGGGCCCTTCCACACAGCCATATAATCCAGACCATCAAGGCAGAATAATCCACAAAATCTGCTTTGAACTGGGTTATCTGAGTCCACACTGCCAATATATTTGGAATATTAAAACTGATTCCACTGTCTTCCTCAGTTTATTTATTTATTTACTTTGCTTATATACCGCTGTATCTCAAGCCCGAAGGCGACTCACAGCGGTTCACAAACAGTAGAAACAGTAGAAACAGCAGTGGTTCCATACAACATATAACAATTGACTTAACACATTATCCATAAATTACCAATAGCAATTACAATGCACAATTATTACAAAAAACAACCGTACCCAATCTTCTCATCATCCAAGCGTAGTCCAGATTCGTCATCCATTGTTCCATTCCTATGTTCCATTACCAGATTGTACTAAATTACTCAAACGCCTACAAACATCCAGGTCTTCACCTTTTTGCGGAATATCATTAGAGATGGTGCTAGTCTAATGTCCGTAGGAAGGGCGTTCCACAGCCGAGGAGCCACCACCGAGAAGGCCCTATCTCGTCCCCGCCAGCCGAGCTTGAGAAGCAGGCGGGATCGAGAGCAGGGTCTCCCCAGAAGATCTCAAAGTCCTGGTGGGTTCATAGGCAGAGATGCGGTCAGATAGGTAGCTTGGGCCAGAACCGTTTAGGGCTTTAAAGGCCAACGCCAGCACTTTGAATTCAGCCCGGTAGCAGATCGGTAGCCAGTGGAGTTGGCGCAACAGGGGGGTTGTATGCTCCCTGCGCTCCGCTCCTGTTAAAATCATGGCTGCCGAGCGTTGGACTAGTTGGAGCTTCCGAGCTGTCTTCAAAGGCAACCCCACGTAGAGAGCGTTGCAGTAGTCTAAACGGGATTTAACCAGAGCGTGGACTACCGTGGCCAAGTCAGACTTCCCAAGGTACGGGCGCAGCTGGCGCACAAGCTTTAGCTGTGCAAATGCTCCCCTGGTCACCGCCGAAACCTGGGGTTCCAGGCTCAGCGATGAGTCCAGGGTCACACCCAAGCTGCGAACCTGCATCTTCAGGGGGAGTGCGGCCCCATCCAACACAGGCTGTAACCCTATGCCCTGTTTAGGAAATCTTTAAAAGGTGAAACCACAAAAGTATTCCAATAGCCAGCAGAAAGTAAGCTGTGTGGAAGGGGTCTTAATTGTCTGTTCCATTAACCATAAATTTGCAAATTTGGTAGACATAATTCTTTTGGAGTGGTGCCTTGCTGGCAACCCCTTATATATAACCTGCTCCACTTTTTTCCTAGATTGAAGTATTGTTGTTGTTTTGGAGTAGTTCTGCTTTTTCTCTGTTGTACTTTCACCATTTTCTCTTTTTAGTTGTTCTTTTTGCTTAGGACATAACAAAAAGAGCCTTGTATTGTTTTTAATCTCTCTAGCAAGCCTGAATTCAGTCTACACTTTTGATTTTCTTACTTTCTGCTGGCTATTGGAATACTTTTGTGGTTTCACCCTTTAAAGATTTCCTAAAAGGGATTAAAGAACCTATCAAGACTAATACAGAGACTCTACCATTGTTGTTGTTCATTCGTTCAGTCGTTTCCAACTCTTCGTGACCTCATGGACCGGCCCACGCTAGAGCTCCCTGTCGGCCGTCACCACCCCCAGCTCCTTCAAGGTCAGTCCAGTCACTTCAAGGATGCCATCCATCCATCTTGCCCTTGGTCGGCCCCTCTTCCTTTTTCCTTCCATTTGTTGCACTCCAGTGCAGGAAACCGAGCCCTCTTGTCATTAATACACCACACCTTGGTTTAGGAAAAATACAATCCCTTTTTATTGAATGATAGAAGTCCAAAGGTAAAGAAGTCAAAATGAAACAGCAAACAGCAATGTCCAGAAAGCTTGCAGAAAATCCAAAGCAGTAAAATCCAGAATACTCTCAATAGAAATCCATGAACAGATTAGCCCCTGCCAAATCTCACTTGAAGCCAGGAATTCCCTTGGAGACCAGGCTGCTGGAAACTGGAAAACCCTGGAGCTTTGTACTTGAACGAATCGATGCTTGGTCTGAGGAAATTCCCCTCACGGCCACTCTTAAATCCCAGAAACAGATTCCGGCTAACTCTAATTTTTGGTTTCAGTTGTCGAATTCTCTTAGACCTACGTAAACATTGAGTCTCCCTGCGGCTCTGGCTTATCTGTAAACCGTGGCTGTTATCATTGACCCAACCAGGTGTCAAGTTATCTTGCAAGCTCGAGCCAGAAGGAGAAAGGAGTGAATTTTATTTCTCATGAGAACTTGGCTTTTCTCTTGAAGCCTCTAAATGAAAGCCTGTAAGATTTTTACTGCCCAAAGTGTCTTCATCTTGAACCTCGTCGTCATTGATCACTTCAGCCTTACTATCCAAACTAGGCCCTTCAACATTTACATCAATATTATCAACATTAGGCAATGCAATCAGAGGTTCAGGCTCAAGTTCACACACAGGGTCATTCGCAGGCTGAGTCCCAACACCATTTTCCCCAGCATCATTGTCTTCGCTAAGCTTTTCTTTCTTCTCATGATGTGGCCAAAGTACTTCATCTTTGCCTCTACTATCCTTCCCTCCAATGAGCAGTCGGGCTTTATTTCCAGAAGTATGGACTGGTTGGATCTTCTGATGGTCCAAGGCAGTCTCAGAACTTTCCTCCAGCACCACAGTTCAAAAGCATCTATCTTCCCGGGGAGAGTGCGGATGAGCTCCCTCTATCAGCTCCAGCTCCCCATGCGGGCGCATGAGAAAAGCCTCCCACAAGGATGGTAACACATCAAAAACATCCGGGCGTCCCCTGGGCAACGTCCTTGCAGACGGCCAATTCTCAAACACCAGAAGCGACTTGCAGTTTCTCAAGTCACTCCTGACATGACAAAAAAAATAAATAAATCTATCTTCCTTTGCTCAGCCTTCCCTATAGTCCAGCTCTCACATCCGTAGGTGACTATGGGAAATACCATTGCTTTAACTATGTGGATCTTTGTTGCCAGTGTGATGTCTCTACTCTTCACTATTTTATCAAGATTGGTCATTGCTCTCCTCCCAAGAAGTAAATGTCTTCTGATTTCCTGGCTGCAGTCTGTGTCTGCAGTAATCTTTGCACCTAGAAATACAAAGTCTGTCACTGCCTCTACGTTTTCTTCCTCTATTTCCCAGTTGTTAATCATTCTTGTTGCCATAATCTTGGCAACTAGACTCTACCATATAACCTGATTTTAACTCTACGGTTAGTACCCGGTCAACTTGTTTTCGCTGAATAAGATAATTATTATCAGATTAGGGAACCAAGTGTTCTGTACTTTAGACAGAATCGATACCAATAAACAAACATATGATGTAGGTATAAGGCATGATCTGCCCTATGACCCCAACTAAGGTCAGAATAGTGCCTTAGCATTGGAATGCCACCTAGTGTCTTAATGTAATTACAATAGAAACTATTTTTATTATTTATTTATTTACTATATTTCTATACCGCCCTTCTCAGCCCAAGGGTGACTCACGGCAGTTCACAAAACTGGTAGAATTCAATGCCACAATAATATAAACAGTTAAAAGCATCTAAATTCCGTAAACAATAAAATCAATGAAACATAAAACATAAATCCTCCATATCTAATTTCCAGAACGTATGGCTCTTTAGAAATATGAAGAATGGATTACTTAACCCGCACACGTCAGAACTGCTGACCAGCATAAGAACATAAGATCATAGAGGATATTGAAATATGACCCAAAACACACCACCCATGCTGACTTCAGCGTTTCCAAATGATTATCAAGATTATTAAAATGTTTTTCTCTGTATTAATAATGGATCTTTGTCAACAAGTTATGTAAGCAATTGTATGTAAATATGTGCTCTGTTTAAATCAGGGGTCCTCAAACTTTTTAAACAGAGGGCCAAGTCAGAGTCCCTCAAAGTGTTGGAGGGCTGGATTATAATTTGAAAAAAAAAATGAATGAATTCCTATGCACACTGTACATATCTTATTTGTAGCGTAAAAAACCCACCTAAAATCAATACAGTAATTTTAACAAATATAAACTTATTAGTATTTCAATTGAAAGTGTGGGACTACTTTCGGCTGATGAGATAGGGTTGTTGTTGTTGTGTGCGTTCAAGTCATTTTAGACGTAGGTTGACCGAGAAGACTGAGAGGAGATATGATAGCCATGTATAAATATGTGAGAGGAAGCCACAGGGAGGAGGGAGCAAGCTTGTTTTCTGCTTCCTTGGAGACTAGGACGCGGAACAATGGCTTTAAACTACAAGAGAGGAGATTCCATCTGAACATGAGGAAGAACTTCCTGACTGTGAGAGCCGTTCAGCAGTGGATCTCTCTGCCCCGGAGTGTGGTGGAGGCTCCTTCTTTGGAAGCTTTTAAACAGAGGCTGGATGGCCATCTGTCAGGGGTGATTTGAATGCAATATTCCTGCTTCTTGGCAGGGAGTTGGACTGGATGGCCCATGAGGTGTCTTCCAACTCTTTGATTCTATGACCCTGAGCGCGGGCCGGGTAAATGACCTTGGAGGGCCGTATTCAGCCCTTGGGCCTTAGTTTGAGGACCCCTGGTTTAAATCATGGTGTGTGGAAACCCCCTGATTCAGCTCCTGGGCTGAGGTTTCTCACAATTTTCCATTGGAACAGTAAGCTTTGAACTTGGAATTCTGCTCTAGCCTGGTGTCGTTCTTCTGCCCCATTTACGTCCCAACGGACAGGCTGCTGTCTGCTGCTACAACCTTTTTTTCCATTTTTTTTGTACATGTCCCTTTAAAATCTTAGTTTAATTGAAAGTTCTTTGCCGATCCATTCTGGTTTGTTTAGATGCCTCCAATATCCCCATCCTTATTGGAACTATTTGAAGCTGTGCCTTCCATATCTCACTTTTAAGAGACTCCTTTCCATCATGAACTCCCTTCTTTATCTGACTGCAGGGTCACACCCTGCCTTTTCCTAAATTTACTGCAATCAGCTTTATTAAAAGTCTAGAACAGGCATCATCAAACTTCGCTCCCCAATTGTTTTGGCCTCCAACTCCCAGAATTCCTAACCATTGAATAAGCTGGCTAGGGCTTCTGGGAGTTGGTCTAGAATATGTCTGACTATGCGTGCCTGACCATTTCTGCTTTATAAAATGCTTTAGAAGAATATAATGGTTCCCACCTAAGGATTCTACCACTTTCACCCTGTTAACCAAGTCATCCCTGGTTAACCAGATCAGATTTAAAATAGCAGACCCCCTTGTTGCCTCCTCCACATTCAAGACAATATACTTAGCAAGTGAGGAATTTATTGGACCTTGTATTCTTGGCAAAGTTGGACTTTCAGCAAATATAAGATAGTTTAAACCTCCCATTATACATCTTTTATTTTTGAATGTGTGGTCATCTGTTGCAGGAAGACAATCTGGCTTTGGGTGTCTCCCAGAATGGCATCTCTGTTGAGTTGCTGTGAGTTTTCCGGGTTGTATTGCCATGTTTCCGAAAGCATTCTCTCCTGACGTTTCACCCACATCTATGGAAGGCATCCTCAGAGGTTGTGAGGTCTGTTGGAAACTAAGTAAGTAAGGTTTATGTATTTGTGGGATGGCCAGGGTGGGAGAAAGAACTCTTGTCTGCCTGAGGCAAGTGTGAATGTTTCAATTGGCCACCTTGATTAGCATTGAATAGCCTTGCAGCTTCAAAGCCTGGCTGCTTCCTGCCTGGGGGAACCTTTGTTGGGAGGTGTTAGCTGACCCTGATTACTTCTTGTCTGGAATTCCCTTGCTTTTTGAGTGTTGCTCGTTATTTCCTGTCCCAATTTTAGAGTTTTTTAAAATACTGATAACCAGATTGTCTTCATTTTCATGATTTCCTCCTTTCTGTTGAAATTGTCCACATGCTTATGTATTTCAGTGGCTTGTCTGTGTAGCCTGACATGGTGGTTGTTAGAGTGGTCCAGCATTTCTGTGTCCTCCAATAATATGCTGTGTCCAGGTTGGTTCATCGGGTGCTCTGCTATGGCTGACTTCTCTGATTGAATTAGTCTGCAGTGCCTTTCATGTTCCTTGATTTGTGTTTGGGCAATGCTGTGTTTGGTGGTCCCTATGTAGACTTGTCCACAGCTGCATGGTATACGGTAGACTCCAGCAGAGATGAGAAGATCCCTCTTTTTCCTTTGCTGAACGTAGCATTTGTTGGATTTCCTTAGTGGGTCTATATATAGTTTGTAGATTTTGTTTCTTCATCAGCTTCCTTATGTGGTCAGTTGTTTTCTTGATGTAGGCTAAGAACACTTTTCCTTTGGGTGGATCTTTGTCTTTACTTGTGTGGCTTGTTCTTGGTCTTGCAGCTCTTCTGATGTCTGTGGTAGAGTATCCATTGGCCTGTAGAGCCTACTTTTTAATACTGGCTACCAATATTTTAAAAACTCTAAAATCAGGACAGTAAATAAAGAGCAACACTCAAAAACAGGGGAATTCCAGACAAGAAACAATCAGGGCCAGCTAACATCTCCCAACAAAGGATTCCCCCAGGCAGGAAGCAGCCAGGCTTTGAAGCTGCAAGGCCATACAGTGCTAATCAAGGTGGCCAATTGTAACATTCACACCTGCCTCAGACAAGAGTTCTTTCTCCTACCCTGGACATTCCACAGATACATAATCCTCACTTGCCTAGTTTCCAGAAGTCCTCACAACCTCAGACGAAGCTTGCCATAGATGTGGCTGAACGTCAGAAGAGAATGCTTCTGGAACATGGCCATACAGCCTGGAAAACCCACAACAACACAGTGATTCCAGTCATGAAAGCCTTCAACAAGACATCTCTGCTGTTTGTTTCCCCTTTAATTTTTGCCTGGATGCTCTCAATCTGGCTTCCAGGATTTAATTCATGGATCACAGTTGTAAACATCCTTGATATATAATTCTCCTCCTCCTCCTTTCCCATTTGGTCTATTTTTCTAAAATATCTCATACATTTCTATTACTATATTCCAATTATGTGACCCATCCACCAGGTTTCAGTAATGCCTTGTTATCAACCTTCCTAATGCTGCGACCCCTTAATACTATTCTTCATGTTGTGGTGACCCCCAACCATAACATTATTTTTGTTGCTACTTCATAACTAATTTTGCTACTGTTATGAATCGTAATGTAAATATCTGATATGGAGGGTGTATTTTCATTCACTTGACAAAATTTGGCACAAATACACGATACGCACACATTTGAATATTGGTGAGGTTAGAGGGAATGATTTTGTCATTTGGGAGTTGTAGTTGCTGGGATTTATAGTTCATCGACAATCTAAGAGCATTCTAAACTCCACCAACAATGGAATCGAACCAAACTTGGCACACAGTTCTTCCATGACCAATAGTAAATACTGGAAGGTTTTGGTGGGCATTGACCTTGAGTTTTGGAGTTGTAGTTCACCCACATCCAGAGAGCACTGTGGACTTAAATAATGATGGATCTGGACCAAACTTGCTACAAATACTCAATATGGCCAAAATGTCAACACTGGTGGAGTTTGGGGGAAGTAGTTAAAATAGAATGTCGATGGTGCGTTTATTTTGTGATCCTGTATGGCAAAACATGAGAGCTCTAGGTAGGAATGATTTTCAGTACCTCACGCTCCTCAGTGATTTTGGGGAAAGAATGAAGGAGGCATTGAGTGGCAAAATTCTTATTTTGGGGATTATTGCCCTCATTTTACCCTAATCTCCAATAATTATGTCACAACAAACTTAGAGAAACTGGGAGAAGGTTGCTGCAGCGATAGGGGTTTGTTAGCTACACCATCAGCTTTGTGATTATGAAATCCTTAGAAAATAGGTCATGGTGTGCAGAGAACCAGTAGAGAGATCCTCCTGTGACCAGTCTCAAAGATATGTCAGGCCTTCTATCTTGTGAGTTTCAAGATAAAGCATAAATACTGTGCTATTTGGTTTGAGGAAGTAGAGGAGAAATGCCAGCCACATTTCAAACAACAGAAACCATTACAGGAAGTCTCTTTTAGATTCCTGTTATTATTCTTTCCAGATCAGCATTATACATCCCCATAGCAGAGAGCATATTATTCTGACATCCACTGAACACATGCTCTTTTGATTATTTATCCTTAGAAAATAGTCCAATTTTACATGACAAGCCTTTCCCTCCTTTATAAAATTTATTTCCGCATCTGTGTTCCCTTCATTACATGGAATCATTTTTCAGAATGGATTATAATCACTGTAATCACTTTATATAATCTGCATAATAGCTCACATACAGCCTTTTTGCACCGCAGGATATTTACCAGATTTAAAAGAAATGGTTATATGGAAAATCAATCAAACCGAGGAGGCAAAAGTGTGACAGAGGGTTATATAAAAGTGTAAATAAGAGCATTTCCTCCAAGTGGCTATACTAAAAAGGGATTTGTAGGAGCTTTAGCCAAAAAAGGATTCAAGCACCCAAACACGAATCAAGGAACATTAAAGGCACTGCTGACTACTTCAGCCAGAGAAGTCAGCCATAGCAGAGCACCTGATGAACCAACCTGGACACAGCATATTATTTGAGGACACAGAAATGCTGGACCACTCTAACAACCACCATGTCAGACTACATACAGAAGGCATTGAAATCCATCATTTAAACAGAAAGGAAGAAACCATGAAAATGAACAAAATCTGGCTACCAGTATTAAAAATTGTAAAACCATAATAGTAAATAAAGAACAACATTCAAAAACAAGGGAATTCCAGACAACAAATAATCAGGGACAGCTAATCACCTCTCAACAAAGGATTCCCCCAGGCAGTAAGAAGATACACCTTAACAGACCGCTTAGCAGAGTGAGTAAATTCTAAGAAAATGCTCTAGTTAGTATTTTATGATATGTCAGAGTGTGTGGGTGATTATGTTCAGAGAAAAGGAGTCTGGGAGAAACAAAGGAGTCAAGCCAATTCAGCCTTGATTTGGGATGTCTAGTATAACACCTGTGGCCACTGGCTTTCCCACAAGCACTACTTGTGCTGCTCAACTCATATATTTTTTTAAAAATATCAGTATCACATGTTCTCTCTTTTTCTGCAGAACAAGAGCATGTAGATCTAGAGACATTCATAACTAATGAAAATGGTCATCAGCTGCCCAAACAGTGCCCCCCTTCCCAGAAAAGAAATGAAAAGAGACCCTGGTTTTGCCTGTCTTGTTTTGAAAAGTTTGGGATCTTGCAGGGAGACCTTGCAGTGCTCAGGGCAGTGAGGCAATTGTAGAAAGTGCTAGGTGGAACTGCAGGAACATTGTGGGATGGGAGAGATGTAGTGGAGGAATGGGATACAATGTTGTGTGGCAGAGTGCCTGTATGGAATGTATATATTTGCATTCTTGCAGAGGTGGTGATGTGGTACTGAAATTTTGGTTGCCTATACTGTAGAATTAATGCAGTTTGAAACTACTTTAATTGCTATGGATTATTGCTATGGAATCATGGCAGTTGTAGTTTGTTAAGGCATTAGGACTCTTTGGTAGAGAAGACTGAAGACCGTGTAAAACTACAACTATAATTCCATAACATTGAGCCATAGTAGTGGTAATAATAATAATATTATAATACATTTTGAATGATGCACGCAGATCCAAGTAAGGTGGCCTGTTGCAGTCGACAGATCGTGATTTTATCAATGTTTATTGTTTCCAAATGCTGGCTGAGATCTTTTGGCACGGCACCCAGTGCGCCGATCACTACTGGGACCACCTGTACTAGCTTATGCCAGAGCCTTTGCAGTTCGATTTTGAGGTCCTGATAACAGTTGAATTTTTCCTGTTGTTTTTCATCAACTCGGCTGTCACCCAGTATGGCGACATCAATAATCCAAACTTTTTCCTTTTCCACAATCGTGATGTCTGGTGTATTGCGTTCCAAAACTTTGTCAGCCTGGTTTCGAAAGTCCCACAGTATTTTTTGCATATTCGTTTTCCACTACCTTTGCATGTTTATCATTCCACCAGTTCTTTACTGCTGACAGGTGGTACTTGTGACATAAGTTCCAATGAATCATCTGGGCCACGGAGTTGTGCCTCGGTTTGTAGTCTGTTTGTACGATTTTCTTGCAACAGCTGAGGATATGATCATTGGTTTCATCAGCTTCCTTGCACAGTCTACATTTTGGATCATCAGCTGCTTTTTCAATTCTGGCCTTAATTGCATTTGTCCTGATGGCTTGCTTCTGGGCTGCAAGAATCAGGCCTTCTGTCTCCTTCTTCAGTGTTCAATTTGTGAGCCATAACCAGGTCTTCTGCTTATCAACTTTTCCTTCAATTTTGTCAAGGAACTGCTTATACAATGCTTCATTGTACCAACTGTCAGCTCTTGTTTGGAGTGCAGTTTTCTTCTACTGATTCTTTGTCTGCTGTGCTTTGAGAAGTTTCCGATCATTGACATCAATCAAAGCAGGTTCTTGGGAAGAAGTGTTGGACTTGTGATTTTGTGATACGAAATCCAGCATATATATCTCGTTTGCTGTGACATACTGTGTTTTTGGATCAGTAAAAAAGACAACACTTTATTTATATTCCACTCTATCTTCCCGAGGGCACTTAGAGTGGATTACAACATACACAGATAAGCAAAAATTCAGTGGCTTTAATACAGTGAAATAACAATGACACATAAATACACAGAACAAAGATAAAGGCTTCTCCTTTCATCTCCAGATTCTGGAGGCGGTGCTCAGCTCTGGCCATGGAGAGGTGCTCTTTTTCCATTTCCAAGTCGAGGAGCCTGTTGTCCATAGACACTTCCTGGTTGCATTGCCGGCATGGCTGCATGGGTGCCTTTAGTACCTTCCTGCTGAAGTGATACCTATTGATGTCCTCACATTTGCATGTTTTCAAACTTCTAGGTTGGCAGGAGCTAGGTTTATCAGCAGGACCTTACCCTAACCTGTGGCTTCAAACTGCTAAACTTCAGGTCAGCATTTTAGCAGTACAAGCGTGTAGCTGATTGCACCAACCGTGGCCCCATGGCAGTACCAAAGTTCTTAGGAGCAATGTGTATTTTATATGTGGATATATTCATATAGAAGAAATAAAATGAGTTTTCTTGTAATGGTGTCAGAAAGGCCTACTTCTAAGAGAAGAAACAAACCATTATAATATGTGCCAAGGCACTGCAAGATGAGTTGGATGTGGCCCCAATGCAGGAATGTTTTCATGATCAATATGTTCTTCCCAAGTTCAGTTCAGGTCAGAAGGTATTTGCTTCCCTTGAAAAGGGATCCACAAAACAAGCCTCCAGTTTGAGGCGTATTATCTATTTATTTTTAGCCAAGCCAGTTCTAAAATTAAGTTGCAAGGTTGACTGTAATGTGATATATATTTGAAAGCATTTCTGCCACAGCTAAGAAATAATGCTTGTCATTTCACAATCTGCTTTTCTTTCAGCTCTGTTTTTGGAGCAGGATATGTATATGCAGAGGAAGGTGCAATGCAGCAGAAGGCTCCTGGTGACTTTTCTTTTGTGAAACCAAGTAACAATGACATTGGTGCCTGCAGAGCATGGGCAATGTGGCAGCATCTTACGTGAGTGAAAGAGAGAGAAAAGGATCATGTGGCCCACTTTCTCCAGAATACAAATTTTGTGCTTGGTTCTAACAGTGCTGGCTATCCTAGGTTTTGTTCATAATTTTTATCAGGTTGAGGTGAGTAATTCAACTCTCTTAAAGATAGGGTAGTGGGACTGAACTTTTCATTTACCCCTATTTTTTCATTGTTATTCTACTTACATTTTTCGCAGTTCATGTTTATATGTTGTTCTATTCTTTTGTGCTTTTAATATCTTGAAGGTGTATGATTCCACTGGTGTGGGCAATTTTTCCACCCTTGCCGATCATACTTGCAGCGGAGGGGTGTGTTCTCTGATTACAAAACTAATTAAGTTCTTGGTATTTAGGCTGTTCAAAACATGGAAGCATTTCCCACACTTGCAGCCCAGGTTACTGCATCAAAATACTTGAAAAATTGTCAGATGGTTCCTTGTTATCTCAAAGTGCACGTTTTTGCTGTTCTCATCAACAGGTTTTCAAAAATAAAATGTTTTACATTCTCTCTTGTATAATAAGAGTCCCTTGCTAAAAAGAGAAGCGATAGAACTGTAGTATTCCTAGAAGGCAGTTCTTATAACACCTGCTATTGCCGTTATGCTCTTTTTGTAATGGACCAAACATACTACCAACCCCAAAAATTGCTGTACCTCTCTCGTAGTTTGAGACCAAGGCCATCAGACCACGTGATCAACCTTTACTGGCACTGGTCTAATCTGCCCCACGCCTACAATGTAATCCAAGTAAGGCAACTCAGTTTGTGCTGCTTTACATTTCTTGAGATTGGCAGTGAAACCACCCTGTCTGAGAACCTCGATAGCTCTCTGCAAATTAACTAGGTGGGCTTCTATGAAGAGTTGAAAATAATAATGTTCTCGATATATGCAACAGCACAATCCTGTACTGGTTGTAAGACAATATCCATCAAATGCTGGAAAGTAGCTGCTGCTCCATGCAACCAAAGGTAAATTGGTAAACTGCTCGTAAAGTGTTACAGGAGTGACAAAAGCTGCCTTTTCCCACGACTCCTTCATTAAAGGAACCTGCCCATATCTTGTTAAATCTAAGGAGGTGACATTTTACACATTTCCCAGCTTGCTCAACAACTCACCAACTCAGGACATGGGGGTAAGCATCTAACTTGGGAATTTTATTTATTTGAAGTAAATCTATGCAAAATTGCACATGACTGTAATAATAATAATAATAAGAAGAAGAAGAAGAAGAAGAAGAATCCCCCACCCTAGCAGCCTTCAAGAAACTTGGCTTTTCCGATGTGCCTTTGGAGAGTGGCGATATATCCCATTTTTGTCTGCTCCACCTTCAGTGTCCTCCTTATAATAATTCCTTCGATGGCCGATTGGGCAGGGGGGTAAAAGAATCCCACCGCTGCCAGCTAATTATAAAGGCTCCTTTATGCTACTTGGGCAGGGGGTCAAGCAAACCCACCACTGCCACACCAATTATAATAACCGGGCAGATGGCAAAGCGATCAATCCCACCATCTAACCCTAATCATAAAGGCAGTCTTTATGGCTAAACAATATGACTGGACAGGGGGCAAACAGATCCCAACACTGTCCCTCCTTCAATAAGGAATTCACACCACTTTGGCACTTAGATAACACTTGAGGGGATGACTCACTATTTTAAAAACCTTCGCTGCCACCATAAACCAAATAATCAGGAACCCTCTAGCTATTTAAAATATTAAAAGGCTTTTCTATGACCACCAAACACTGTGTATTAAAAAGGGCCTCTTTGAGGGGAAACAGGAGAGGTTGATTCAAAAAAAAAAGAAAAGGACTCAAACCACAAATGGCACTTGACTCAGGCTTAAGTTTTAAAAATAACAAGAAAGAGTTTATTGAATACAAGTTACGGAATAAAAGTGAATGCAGTTGTAGAGGCTTGGCTGTTACAATTAAAGTGTTCTTGGTTCTTAGAAGCGTATCGGTTGCATGAGAGAATGGTTCTATCCTTTGTTACAATTCCTAAACAAAACCCAGCTATTTCTTCTCTGAAATAGCTGTAACCAGTCTGCCACAGCCTACTTTGCTGTGCAAACTACAGGCAAGCTGCCTATTCCTAACAGAGACTCCTAAAACTCTAATCCTACTCTAACATCACCCAGAACTGAACTGAACTCTCAAAATAAGCTGCTCTCTTTCCCTCCAACTGGCTAACTCCGCCCCCCTTTTACCAACCAATCCTGGCTGTTGCTGGGCTGGCTCAGGCCTAGGCCACTCCCCCTCTCTGAACTGGAGTCTTCCCTAAACTAAGATGGCTCCTGCAGCTCTCTGCCAGGCCTTCTAAACTGAAACTACCTAGCCTGTCTCTTCCTAGGCCCTGCCACCCCCAGCTGGCAAGGTAAGGGATCTTCACACTCCTCATGATGCACTTTCCCCCCGTCCTTAATATATGCCTGACCCCACTGTTCGTCCTTTTCAGGCTCCTCCCCTACAAATACACTTTTTTTCACCCTATCTCATCCAGAGTTTTATCATTTTATCTTGTCATTTGGCCCACCCATTGTGTTCAACTTTTCATTATGTTATTTTGCACTGTTTATTTTATCTTGTTACTTTATGTATTTTATTGTGATGTAATTTTTTGATGTTTTGTACTTTATTTTGCTGTATTGTATCTTTGGGCTTGGCCTCATGTTAGCCACCCTGAGTCCCCTTGGGGAGTTGGTGGCGGGATATCAATAAAGTTTATTATTTATTTATTTATTTATTTGTAGCCCACCCTATCTCCCCAAGGAGACTCAGTGTGGCTTCCAACATAATAAAGGCAAACATTCAATGCTTCTATGAAACAGAAGTAAAAATATAAACCACAAACAATAAAATACATTACCATCTGATTGGACATCAATACTAACTGGCTTCTCTAAGGACTATGAAACTCCTCAACGACCCCCATTTTTAATATGACCTCTACGTCCATATTGGTGGTATCCTTTAATTTTTGGACCATACTCATACTGGACTCCCTACTATGTTCCCTGGTGTGGTTGATATGTGATGTTAAATTAAAAAACATCAGGGTATGTCCTTTTCAGTTTTCTTACCTGTATGACCTGTTCTGAAGAAAGTTGTTCTCCTAGATCCGTTGGGAGTATTCAGTGCTACATCTTCTACAGCACCTCTTCCTCTATGACTGCCTCTAGGACCTTTTGCCCCTTCCACTCCTTTAACAGATTAATATGGATAATGTGAGTCTCCTGCCTCTGTCATTTGGGCTTGATCTCATAATCACTTCAAAGGGCCCTTTCCATTGGGCAAACAATTTTGCCTTTGATGAGGATAGTAAGAGTAGAACCATCTCTCCTATATGAAACACATGCAGCCTTACCCTCTGATCATAATAGGACTTCTGAGTTGTCTGAGCCTTTTCCAAATGCTCTTTCACTATCTGGAGACTATCTTAAGGTGCTTCCTCATCTCCAGAAGATGCTGCAATACTAAACGAGTGAAAGGGTTTCCTGTTCCCAAGCCTCCTTAACCAGATCTAAAATTCATTTTGGTTGCTTCCCAAAGAGCAACTCAAAGGGGGAAAACCCAGATGAAGCTTGGGATACCTTGCAGATGGCAAACTATAAGGAAGGTAATAATTTGTGTCATTCCCTAGGTGTGGTGCCTACTAATTTCTTAAGCATGTTTGAGGGTGTGATTAAATCTTTCTACCAATCCATTAACCTGACGATAATATACAGAGGTCTTTATAGGTTTGATCTTCAGAGGTTCCCAAATATGTCTCATTGGCTGACTTCCTGATCCATTAAGATCTCCTTCAGGAAGCCAACCCTTGAAAAAAATGGGTGACAACTCTTTAGTGATGGACTGAGATATAGTAGATCTAAAGGCAGTGGTTCTCAACCTGGGGTCCATAGATATTTTTGGCCTTCAACTCCCAGAAATCCAAACAGCTGGTAAAAGGACTGGGATTTCTGGGAGTTGTAGGTCAAAAGCATCTGGGGACCCCAGTTTGAGAATCACTGTCTTAAGGGAACTGCTTCAGGGTATTTAGTAGCATAATCTATCAGTACCAATATGTGATATGCCCAAGTCCAAAGCAATTCTCTCCAAAGAAACTGCAACCACTGTCATGGGCACTAATGGGGCAGGGATTCATGGTAGGACCTGTGTTTTTCTGGTACTCCAGGCATGACTCACAATAGCATTGAACCTCTTCGATCATTCTGGAAAGAAATTACGAGTGGAGTGCGACTCGTTCTGGGCTTGGTTCTGTTCAACATCTTTATTAATAACTTAGATGAAGGATTAGGAGACACAGTCATCAAGTTTGCAGACAAAATTGGCAGAGATAGCTAATACTCCAGAAGACAGGAGCAGAATTCAAAACAATCGTAACAGATTAGAGAGATGGACCAAAACTAACAAAATGAAGTTCGACAGGGACAAATGCAAAATACTCCACTAAGGAAGAAAAAAAATGAAATGTAAAGATACAGAGTGAGGGACGCCGGGTTCAACAGAAGTAAGTGTGGAAAAGATCTTGAGAATCCTCATGGACAACAAGTTAAACATGAGCCAACAATGTGATGCGGCAGCTAAAAAAAGGCAATGGGATTTTGGCGTGGATCAATAGGGTGTATAGTGGCTAGATCCAGGGAAGTTGTGCTACCCCTCTATTCTTCCTTGGTCAGACCACACCTGGTCAGAATTGTGTCCAATTCTGGGTACCAGAATTGAAGGGAGATGTTGGCAAGCTGGAATGTGTCCATAGAAGGGCAACTAAAATGATTAAAGGTCTGGAAAACAAGTCCCATGAAGAGCGAACTAAAGAGCTGGGCATGTTTAGCCTGCAGAAGAGTGCCTGAGAGGAGACATGATGGCTATGTATAAATATGTGAGGGGAAGTCATAGGGAGGAGAGAGTAGGCTTCTTTTCTGCTGCTCTGGAGACTAGGACATAGAACAATGGCTTCAAACTAGAGGAAAGGAGATTCCACCTGAACATTAGGAAGAACTTCCTAACTGTGAGAGCCGTTCAGCAGTGGACCCCCCCTGTCTGGACTGTGATGGAGGCTCCTTCTTTGGAGGCTTTTAAACAGAGGCTGGGTGGCCATCTGTCAGGTGTGCTTTGAATGTGATTTTCCTGCTTCTTGGTAGGGGGTTGGACTGGATGGCCCATGAGGTCTCTTCTAATTCTTTGATTCTATGATATCCCTGGCCAAAAGAACTTCCGGAGTATTCTGTTTAAGTCCCCTAGCCAAATATCCCGCAAAAGGAATATCCAGCCTCATGATCTCTAGGTGCAGGGCATGAAAATATCCTCATGAAAATATCCAGCTTCATGATCTCTAGGTGCAGGGCATGGAGAACTACTAGCTGCCTCCTTTATTCCCCTATGCCTTACTTCTTAGCCAATCTATAGAGATTTCCCACTATCTCAAATTGGGAATTTATGGAGTCTGCAGTTCCCTGAGTGTGACTCAATGTGTAAGTCAAAGAGGAATCATCTTGTTGCTAAGCTACTAATTGGGTTGAGAAAATTATCCCTAGAGGAGCCTTCCCCATCTTCAAACATGCTGGGGTCAGTAGTCTAGTTAAATGTGGCCAATCTTTCCTCAACATGGCCTCTTCTGACAACCTGGGTACAACTCTCACCTTGTCATCTTTTCTGCCCTGTTGCCTTTATCATAGCAAAGGTGTTCTTATATGGCTTTATACCCCCATGAATGCATTTTACCACAGAATTTCCCACAAGGAAGGGCTAGAATCCTGAATCCACCAAGGCTGTTAGTTTCACCTATCCAGTTCTGCTGGCACTACTCTTCCACTTGGGGACAAAACCTCACCTGAGACACTACCCATGTATTTTCCAGCTCACAGTCCATAAATGACCAATCCCAGTGCACATGTCCCTCCTGTCCACATTTATAACGAACTATGAGGTCGCCAGTTCTCCCTTCCTGGACATCCCTTGAAAGCAGAGGAATTCCAAAGAGTCCATAGCCCCTTCCTGTTGTCTTGTTTGTACAATGTGTAGATGTGGATTGTCCTCCCACACCTCTTGGCTTGTGGCAAACATTGGTTAAGCTGACTGCCACTTGGTTGTTTGGGTGCCCTCAGAGTATACCTGGTTAAGGATGCCTGCTCTCAGCTTCTTCTGCCCCAGCAAAAGGGAGCAGCTAAGATGGCAAAATACGGAACACATTTTGTAACATCCTACCAACCCCAAAACACATTGCCAGCTTTAAACACACAATTTAAATCTCCCATTAATCACACAAATAGCTCTAACAGAATTTGATCTATTGATTTGCTTTTAAGAGTGTATTTGTATGTTGTTCCTTGTGTAGCTGTGTTATGTTGGTGTTAAGAGATGAAGATGTGGTTTTTATATGCCTTTTTTTTTCAAAGAACTTCCTTTTTTTAAAAAAGAATACAACAGATGTAAAGTGGTTGGTGGAAGACGATTACCAGCAGCCTTCATCACAGTGGACTAAAATACCCAGAAAGTTGTATTGTGGCTATGAACAGCAAGTTTTGTCCACAAGAGAACGAGAGGAAGAAGAGGCCTTATTTGCATCTTTACAATGGCCCAAACCTCATGCAGACAAAATCCCCTTTGTGAGGAGTACAGACCCTTCCCTTAGCAGCTTTGTAATACTGAACCCCCATAAGCAGTTCAAAGTTGGAGATCAGCTGGAGGTACTGGTTCACATGCGGGATTATGAAGGGCTGCCAAAACAGTATGGTGGAGACTACCTTCAAACAAGAATCCATTCTGCTCCTCTGAAAGCTGGGGCCATTGGAAGAATTTTAGATTACCAAAATGGGACCTACAGGCTTTTTTTCACTTTACTCTGGGCAGGAGAAGTCATGGTATCTGTGTCTTTGGTCCACCCAAGCGAAGGGATCCAAGTCTTGCAACGTTTACGAGAGGAAAAGCCAGACAGAACCTATTTTAAAAGCCTGTTCAAATCAGGAAAGATTTCAGAAGCTACTGAGTGCAATGTGTGTTTGCCTGGAGATATGCCGGTCTGCAACTTTACAGATCCCTACACCGGGGAGCCATGGTTTTGCTACAAGCCACGAAAACTCTCCTGTGCCACCAGAATCAACCATTACAAAGGGGGATACCAAAAGGGTCTTTTGACCTCAGAGGAGGGCCGACTTTTCCAAAGGTATGTATTCTCTGAGACTCGACTGTTTGGTTTTTGTTTGGTTTTTAGTTTACGCAATGTTTAATAAGAAACCCTGTTCCATTTCAGAGACCCAGTATAGCGTAGTGGTTTTAGTGTAGGACTAGGACACTGGAAGATTAGAGTTCAAGCATTGCTCAGCCATGGAAACCCAGTGGGTGACCTTGGGCAAGTCATATTTAGCTTCAGAAGAAGGCAAGGGCAACTCCTCTCTGAGTAAGTTCTGCCATGAAAACCCTATGATAGCTTTGCCTTTCAGAACTAAAGTTGCTACAAATGATTTGGAGCTAGAGATCAATAACTCCATTTAAATTGCTTGGATTGGTGGTGAAAGTTCCTGCACTGAAGTCTTTTTGAATGCTGAAATTCTTCATGGAAATGGGTGCCAAGTGGAATTGCCATATTCTAGTTCTACATATCTGGGTAGCTGTTTTGCATAAAGTACTGCAAATTGTTCAATTAATAATAAATCATAGAGTTGGAAGAGACCTTGTGGGCCATCCAGTCCAACCCCCTGCCAAGAAGCAGGACAATCACATTCAAAGCACCCCCAAGAGATGGCCATCCAGCCTCTGTTTAAAAGCCTCCATAATAGGAGCCTCCACCACACAGAGAGTTCCACTGCTGAACAGCTCCCACAGTTAGAAAGTTCTTCCTAATGTTCAGGTGGAATCTCCTTTCCTGTAGTTTGAAGCCATTGCTCCGCATCCTAATCTCTAGGGCAGCAGAAAACAAGCTTGTTCTCTCCTCCCTATGACTTCCCCTCACATATTTATACATGGCTATCATGTCTACTCTCAGTCTTCTCTTCTGCAGGCTGTACATGCCTAGCTCTTTAAGCCACTTCTCATAGGGCTTGTTCTCCAGACCCTAAATAATAAAAACTTTATTTATATTCCACCCTATCTCCCCAGGGGGACTCAGGGCAGATTCCAACATACAAAAGCAAACATTCAATGCCACCATAGAACAAACAAGTACCAATATAATAATCCCAGAAAACAACATTAGAACCTAACATTACAAAATTAAATAAAATGTAATCAAACAAAATTATATAATGACATAAAATCTGAACATAAAACATCCACATTGATTTACAAAAGCCAACTAAAGTTCACAAAGTTATGTGGGTCAGTTGTGTGGCCAGTGATGGTATCTGGGCTAACATGCACTAGCATGTGCATTGCTGCCATGATTTAACCTAATTCTGAATAGTGAACTTTATTTGATGCTAAAATTGTTCACCCTGAACAATTCTCTAGGATAAATACATTTTAAAAAATTCTTTCTTCCCATTGGAGCAAAATGAAATAGCAAACAGATTATTGGAAGCCAACCAATTAAATGCCTATTGATGCATGATACTTATTTATTTATTCATTCATTCATTCATTCATTCATTCATTCATTCATTCATTCATTACTATATTTATATCCAGCCTTTCTCGCTCCTGAAGGGCGGCTTACAACATAGACAATAATTCAATGTCTTAAAAGCAATATACAATTAAAATATTTAAATTTAAAATTATTAATTAAAATTATGATGTGAGAGTTGGTCACTACCATTGATAGAGAAATTGATGCAATAATTAAGAGATTATTCAAAATATAAACAGACAATTTCAGTCAAGTTTGGTTTGATGTTATGTTCTTGTACAAACAGAGATCCTCCCAAATGATCTTCTAAGTGCCACTTACATGTTTATGTCAAGTGTATGCCAATATTGAACACCTTTGATTGGCAAACTGACAGCATAAAGAAGCATTTTATTCCTGATTTCAGACATTTGTAGTATGCTTCTCTTTCAAGTGTAGTTTTTGTTCATTTGTTATGTTTTTGGTTTACAATGTATTTTTATTTATGCTATTTTATCTGTATTGTTATAATCATCTTGCATCAAGGATGTCTCATTGAACTCAGTAGATCTTGATTCTTGCCAAGTACATTTAAAAAGGGTTGTTTCTTTTTTTTGAAAAAACAAACATGAGCTCAAACAGACTCGTTTACTCATGCCAGCATTAGTTTCCAGCAAGTGTTAGGCAAGCTGGAACCAAACCATACTGTACTCCAGCTGTAAATAGAACTGTTGCCATCAAGCATGATTTGCTTCCATGCTGCCCTCGAATAAAGTCCTTTCACACTTCTAGCTTCCCAAAGTCAGAGCATCTTTGAAAAACATTCCACATCCTCATCTATCCTTTCTTTCTCTGATATCCCTGGATTTTGTGCTTGTGTAATACACTGGGGTTTTTTTGTTTTTGTTTTTGTTTTGGAACTATATGGAGAGATGCTGTATCATTGTTTGATGGGAATAGGGCTACAGATTTTGCTCCATAGTTCAGCTCTCATAAGGATTAGAGACTTGCTTTTAAAAAATGAAAGCTTGGAATCCATGCCAGCTAATGATGCAGATGGGCAATAGGTTCCAGATAAAACCCAGTCAACTGGTTAATCTCTCAATCCTAGTACCAGGCAATCAGAAGTGAATGTATTAATCTCTGCCGCTTAATTGTGATGCTTTTAATTTGTTTGAAAGGCATACATGAGGACACTTCAATCAAAAATGCTAGCTTGCAGTTGTCAGAGACCAATTAACTTGGATTAGTTGCTAGTATTGTGCACATTCTATTATTTTTGGGGTTGCATAACAGTAGTAAGTACATTTGGTAAAAATGATTTAGTTCCATGTGGGTGTGCATACCTTTGAACCACCTGTTAATTTGTGGCGACCCTATGAATTTCATAGAGTTTTCTTAGGCAAGGAATACTGGGAGGCCTTTTGGCAGTTTCTTCCTTCGAAATATAGCTGACAGCACTAGGTATTCCTTGGCTGCCTCTCAAGTACTAACCAGGGCTGACAATGCTTAACTTCCAAGGGTTTTTTTTCATGTTAGGAGCGACTTGAGAAACTGCAAGTCGCTTCTGGTGTAAAGAATTAGCCGTCTGCAAGGGTGTTGCCCACGGAATGCCTGGATGTTTTACCATTCTGTGAGAGGCTTCTCTCATATCCCTGTAAGAGATACTGGAGCTGACAGACAGGAGCTCATCCCGCTCCCCAGATTCAAACTGCTGATCTTTCAGTCAGCAGTCCTGCCAGCACAAAGGTTTAACCCATTGCACCATCGGGAGCTCCTACTTCCGAGGCTGGATGGGATCTGGTGCCATTAGAGTTTTATTTAAGGAATGGTTACGTTTTGTTTTGACTTATGTCTGCTCACCACTTGGGATTCCATGTCCCATATGAAGGATGACAGCACAAGGGTTTAACCTTGCATATGTGTTGTGTACTAGTGCAGAAGCTCTGTACTCTAGTTTTTATTTTACTATAGGTCTACAATCAAAAGAGGACTTAATACTTTTAACAGCATTAGAGTTGTTAGTATATCATGGGCTCTGAGTGTTTGACCTGATAGGCCCAATACCTTAAATATTCACACATGTGATGGATACAAAACTATGTTAACAAATTGAATGTTGTTTTAACACTTGTGTGCGTTTCTTTTTTCTTTTTGAAATATAGTGGTGTGAATATCAAAGTGCCAATAGCCTCTCGTGGACCTGATACCGTAGTTGTGAGGCCCTCGGGACATGCAGGTAAAGGATTTTCTTTTTCTGCATTGATGGGTAATTTCAGATTTGTGAAATTATTGTGACCCATACCTATTCTTGTCGTTTTCTGGTTTGGAACTGGGGTTGAAAGGCACAAAAATTAGCTACATTTATATAAAATTAGGACTACCCAAAATCATACTTCCTTATTGTAAATTTATCTGTAAATTTATCTATACTGTTTTATATATACTGTTTTGAGTATCCATTATCGAATATTCTTTGGGACCAGGAGTGTTTTGGATTCCCCCCCCCCCCCCAGATTTTTGAATATTTGAACATACATGATGGAATACTGTAGAAATGGGACCCAAGTCTCAAGACTAAATTTATTTGTGTGTTATATGCACCTTATACACATGGTGACTGTGGTTTTGAGTCTTCTCCATTTTTTTCACTCCTTCTGACAGTTGAGTCATTACATCAGAATTGGTTTTTACAGGTTATATTACAGTTACTGATTGATGTAATATGCTCTTATTTCCTTTGTATTTCTGATTAATAATTTCAGAGTTGTTTCTTTCAGAGATGGACAGTCTAGAAAGATCGCAAAAGCCCGATGTATTCCCTTCTGGCTATTTTTACCAAGATGAATGGCAACCAAGAACACAATGGATTCGTCATTTTAACAAGTCATCAGAGGTTATTGAATGTTTGCAGGATAAACTTATCCATTTGTTTGGTGATTCTACAATCAGGCAGTGGTTTGAATATCTAACAACATTTGTTCCAGGTTATTACTTTTTTGCTTTACTTTTGCTTATAAAAATCTATATAAATAAAAATTTAATGTTTGTTTGTGGGATTAACATAACTCAAAAAACATTGGACAATTGACACCAAATTTGGGCACAATACACCTATCAGGCCAATGAGTGACCATCACTCATAAAAACACTGAAAAGCACAGCAGAAGACACTTAAAAAGCCAAAAAATTAAAAAATACATTAGAACACATGTACAAAACCACATAGATATATGCAAACACACATATATCCACATATAAACAAATATACACACATATATATACACACACAATGGTTGTAGAGCTTCTGGGATTTTATTCATATCTTTCTGAGCAATTTTCATTTGGCTGACACCTGTGTTTCTCAAGAGATACTGTAAATACATTGAGCAGAAATGCCAAACCAGTTCCTCCCATCTACCAGTGCTATTTTATTCTATGATCTGCCAAAAGATTGCCTCTTAGTTTGCAGGCTTCTGCTCTCAAACAATATTTGCTTTGCCAAATAAATTAGTGCTGGCAGATAGAAGAAAGGAAAGAACTTAAGAAGTAAAAAAAAATTAAAATGAATATTATATATTCAAATATATGCACGTGCATCTAGTTGACTGCAGAGAGTCCATTGGTGCAGCAGGGCAAAAAGAGCTGCAGTATAAGACACCAACTTCATAGTTAATATATTTAATCAGAATTTTTGCCAAGGGAAGTAACAGTATGGGATGGAGTTCTGAAAAACTACAGTTTTTTTTTAGTGTCATGATCTTGGTGGTATGTTAAATTCTGGAACAGAGAAAGCCTAGAAAAGGATCACCAAAATGGTCTTTAATGAGGAATAAACTGTTCGTGTGGTTCAGTTAAAAGAAAATATTCACATTGGGTTGCTGTGAGCTTTCTGGGCTGTATGGCCATGTTCCAGAAGCATTCTGTCCCGACATTTCACCCACATCTATGGCAGGCATCCTCAGAGGTTGTGAGGTCTGGAAACTAGGCAAGTGAGGTTTATATATTTTTTAGAATGTCCAAGGTGGGAGAAAGAACTCTTGTCTGTTTGAGGCAAGTGTGAATGTTGCAATTGGCCACCTTGATTAATGTTTAATGGCCTTGCAGCTTCAAAGCCAGGCTGGTTACTGCCTGGGAAGATGCTTTGTTGAGAGGTGTTAGCTGGCCTTGACTGATTTTTGTTTGGAATTCCCCTGTTTTTTGAGTGTTTTGAGTGTTCTTTATTTACTGTCCTGATTTTAGACACCTCTGCAGGAGTTTATTGTATATCATGCAGCTGCAGATAAGTCTGCATAGGGACCGCCAAATGCAGCACGAATCAAGGAACATGAAAGGCACTGCAGACTGATTCAGCTAGAGAAGTCAGCTATAGCAGAGCACCTGATGAACCAACCTGGACACAGCATATTATTTGAGAACATAGAAATGCTGGGCCACTCTAACAACTACAATGTCAGACTACACAGAGAAGTCATTGAAATCCACAAGCATGTGGACAATTTCAACAGAAAGGAGGAAACCATGAAAATGAACAAAATCTGGCTACCAGTATTAAAAAACTCTAAAATCAGGATAGTAAAGAAAGAACAACGCTAAAAAGGGAGAATTCCAGACAAGAATCAATCAGGGCCAGCTCACACCTTCCAACAAAGCATCTCCCCTGGCTGAAATCAGCCAGGCTTTGAAGCTGCAAGGCAATTAAATGACAATCAAGGTGAGCAATTGCAACATTCACACTTGCCTCAAGCAGACAAGAGCTTTTTCTCTCACCCTGGACATTCCACAGATATATAAACTTCACTTGCCAACTTCTGAGGATGCCTGCCATAGATGTGGGTGAAATGTCAGGAGAGAATGCTTCTGGAACTTGGCCATACAGCCCGGAAAACAAGCAGTAACCCAGTGATTCTAGCCATAAAGCCTTCGATAACTCAATATTCACCTTATTTAACGCAAATATGTGATAGGGCCTGAATGTACTGGATCCTGATTGATCTTGACTCAGCTGCTGTTTACCTGGGAAGGAACAGTAACTGCAGGATTGGCCTCTTTCTCAGCCCACCATTCTCTCAATATCAATGCTGCTTAAAAACTTAAACCTTGACATAGGACATACAGGAAAAAGGGAATGTTGAGCAGGTATAAAAAGACTTTGGAGGAAGTAACTTTTTCTGTCAGAACTTTTATAATTTATTTATTTATTTATGACATTTATATGCTGCCCTTCTCACCCCGAAGGGGACTCAGAGCGACTTACAAGAAATATATACATACAATATATTATATTATTAGCCTAGCACAATATCAGTATTAAATATTACTATATTGTACTATATTTAATATATATTATATAATATATAATATAAATGCGAAAGACTGCTCAAACTTCCGTACAGTGGCCCTTATTTCTCATGCCAGTAAGGTAATGCTCAAGATCCTGCAAGGAAGACTCCAGCAATACATGGAGCGAGAGTTGCCAGATGTTCAAGCTGGGTTTAGAAAAGGTAGAGAAACGAGAGACCAAATTGCCAATATCCGCTGGATAATGGAGAAAGGCAGGGAGTTTCAGAAAAACATCTACTTCTGCTTCATTGACTATTCTAAAGCCTTTGACTGTGTGGATCATAATAAATTGTAGCAAGTTCTTAGTGGGATGGGCATCCCAAGCCACCTTGTCTCTCTCCTGAGGAATCTGTACAAGGACCAAGTAGCAACAGTCAGAACTGACCATGGAACAACAGACTGGTTCAAGATTGGGAAAGGCGTACGGCAAGGCTGCATCCTCTCACCCAACCTTTTTAACCTGTATGCAGAACACATCATGCGATGTGCGGGGCTGGATGAATGCAAAGCTGGGGTGAAAATTGCTGGAAGAAACATTAACAACCTCAGATATGCAGTTGACACCACTCTGATGGCCGAAAGCGAGGAGGAGCTGAGGAGCCTTCTAATCAAGGTGAAAGAAGAAAGCGCAAAAGCCGGGTTGCAGCTAAATCAAAAAAACCAAGATTATGGCAACAAGAATGATTGACAACTGGAAAATAGAGGGAGAAAATGTGGAGGCCGTGACAGATTTGTATTTCTAGGTGCAAAGATTACTGCAGATGCAGACTGTGGCCAGGAAATCAAAAGACGCTTACTTCTTGGGAGGAGAGCAATGTCCAATCTCGATAAAATAGTAAAGAGTAGAGACATCACACTGGCAACAAAGATCCGCCTAGTCAAAGCCATGGTATTCCCTGTAGTAACCTACGGATGTGAGAGCTGGACCTTAGGGAAGGCTGAGCGAAGGAAGATATGCTTTTGAGCTGTGGTGTTGGAGGAAAGTTCTGAGAGTGCCTTGGACTGCGAGAAGATCCAACCAGTCCATCATGCCAGGTTAACCCGGGAAAACTCCATTAGTACTTAACATTTGAAGTACTTTGGCCACAATATGAGGAGACAGCAAAGCCTAGAGAAGACAATTATGCTGGGGAAAGTGGAAGGTAAAAGGAAGAGGGGCCGACCAAGGGCAAGATGGATGGATGGCATCCTTGAAGTGACTGGACTGACCTTGAGGGAGCTGGGGGTGGTAACGGCCGACAGGGAGCTCTGGCGTGGGCTGGTCCATGAGGTCACGAAGAGTCGGAGACGACTGAACGAATGAACAACAACAACATATTGTACTATACCATTATATTGTAATATTATTAGTAATATTACATGTAATATAAATATATAATTATAATATATTATTATTAGTATTATATTGCATTACATTATACTATTCTAAATGTTATATGTATATGCAATATATTGTATTATATTATATTATATTATATTATATTATATTATATTATATTATATTAGAATAGCACAGGATTGATGTATGGCTGTATTTTACAAATTTTATCCGTTACAAATGGTGACAAATTGTCATCAGTGAAACTGTAATAATAATAATAATAATAATAATAATAATAATAATAATAATAATAAAACTTTATTTATATTCCGCCCTATCTCTCCAAGGGGACTCAGGGGTGGATTCCAACAAACAAAAAAGGCAAACATTCAATGCCTCAGTACAATACGAAATGTAGACATAATATCCCAAAATACTCCCACATTTATAGATTAAATAAAACATAACCTATCTAAAAATTATATCTTAACATAAAACCCAAATATAAAGTATAAAATTGCTTTTTATTTTTCAGATCTCGTGGAATTAAATCTCGGGAGCGCTAGAAAGATTGGTCCTTTCATGGCTGTTGACACAAAGCACAACATCCTCCTCAAATTCCGCTGCCATGGCCCTCCTATACGTTTTTTCACGGTTTTTAGCAGCGAGCTGCACTACATTGCCAATGAACTCAACCGCATTGTTGGTGGGAAGAATACCGTGATAGCCATAACTATCTGGTCTCACTTTAGCACTTTCCCAGTAGAAGTGTATATCAGGAGACTGAGAAACATTCGCAGGTCAGTCATCCGACTTTTGGATCGGAACCCCAAAACTCAGATAGTTATCAAAACTGCCAATGTCCAGGAGCTTGGGCCGGAGGTGAGCCTTTTCAACAGTGACTGGTATTCTGTTCAGCTTGACGCAATCATGAGGAAAATGTTCTCAGGAACTGGAGTGCATTTTGTGGATGCTTGGGAGATGTCGTTAGCACATTATTTGCCGCACAAACTACACCCAGACGACGTCATTGTCAAAAACCAATTGGATGCTTTCTTGTCTTTTGTGTGCCCACCCGAAACACCCTATAATTTCTTAAGGGGGATACATAATCAAATGTCAAATCTTTTTCTGTAGTTCGGTGTCAAATACATCTTCTGGAGTTGCTGCTTTATCATGAGTTACTACTGATTTTGGTTTCCCCCAACCTGCATCTAATCTGCACAGTTTACAGTAAAGCACATGCATTCATATTTCCAGTGTTTGGGGACCAAGTTTTGAAATCACTTTTGTTCACAGACAAACCACTTTACAACACAGCTCTATATGTAGGTGTCCACAGTTCCACTTGCCACAATTGTCATGGTGAAACAAAATAGTTGTTATCAGAAGGAAAGGGAGTAGAAAAGTACTGTTTGTTTCTGAAATCAGAGGGCCCAAAAGCTTTGCTGTCAGGGCATTTGGGCTGAAGATACTGCTACTGACTGACTGGTTCATAACTGTGAAAACAGCAGCCATCATGTACTTAACCTTAGATGAATAAGACAGCCTGCCTTGTCTTATGGAGACCTGGTTAGATAAGACGGATGAATGTATATGAATTTCTCACTGCTTCACCCACTCTGTTTGCCATGCAATGACCATTTGAAGTTCTACTCTAGGGGTCCTCAAACTAAGGCCCGGGGCTCGGATACGGCCCTCCAAGGTCATTTACCTGGCCCTCATTCAGGGTCAACCTAAGCAGACAACAGCAGCAATAATCCTATCTCATCAGCCAAAAGCAGACCCACACTCCCCGCTGAAATACTAATAAGTTTATATTTCTTAAAACTGTTCTTCATTTTAATTATTGTATTGTTTTAAGTGTTTTTGCACTACAAATAAGATATGTGCAGTGTGCATAAGAATTCATTCATGTTTTTTCAAATTATAATCCAGCCCTCCAATAGTTTGAGGGATTGTGACCTGGCCCTCCGTTTAAAAAGTTTGTGGACCCCTGTTCTACTCTATGGGAGTAGTACTGGAAAAGGTGGTGGTGGTGGGGATTTCATTGCCACCATTCTGTGCTCTGAAAGTTTTCCAATACAGTATTTTCAGGTGGACAGAGGCTTGTGGTTTCTTGCAGAAGTATTCAGCTTCTTTTGACTCCTCCCCATTTTGTTGTGTAATAACCAGGATTTAATTCTCCGTGCTTCTATAAAACTGAGTTTTGTGGATTATCCAGGTGATATTTGTCCAGTGGGTGATTTTTCCCATTTCACTTGTGGATCTCTCTAGCTTGGTTGCTTTCCATTGTTTTCTGTTAGAAGCAAATTGAGAATATACTGCAAGTTGTTTCTGGTGTGGGAGAATTGGCCATCTACAGAGACGTTGCCCAGGGGACATCTGGATGTGTTACCATCCTGTTGGAGGCTTCTCTCATGTCCCCACATGGGAAGCTGGGGCTGACAGACAGGATCTCACCCCATCTCGCAGATTCAAACTGACGACCTTTAGGTCAGCAGTTCAGCCGGCACATGAGTTTTACCCATTGCGCCTCCCTGACTTTCCTGACTAAAGTTCTCCTTACCCAGTCACTGAGTTAGCATGGACAGTCTTCTCTACATAGAATCACAGTAGAGCCATATTATTCTCCATTTTGTAATAATAGATTTAATAGTGCTCTGTAGCATGTTCATAGCATGGGACATATTTTCAGAACCCAACCCCTACTGGAAATTCTGCGAAGCTTTCTCCTGGGCTTGTTATGATAGTTCCTTGGTTTTTATGTTCTCCAACAAACTCTGGGTCTTCCAGAAACAAGTATTTTTCATGTGAGACCTGTGGAATTGAAATTACACACAGATATATTCCATCTTAGCTAGTTATGTGATTTCTGGAGGTAATGAGTTGGGCCAGAGTGTACTCAGGTGTATCAGAGCTAAGCAGGGTAAAGAGCTGAATGGGGTAAACACCTAGGCAACCACCAAGTGCCAGTTGTTCTTGTTTACTGTGCCACAATAAAAATATTTTGTACCTTCACGGTGTTGTTTCTCTGGTGTGAGTCAAGTGGTAACAATACACTTATATCTATTTCTACAACATGTGGAAAAGTGTGCGTAAATACTTCTGTGAGGCACTATATATTATATGCTGGTCAACAGGAAGGAAGCAGACTGCACAAGAGCTGATTGTCATCCATTGCTTTCTGCAGACATGAAACAGATGAAAGTAGAACTTTAGATGGTTCCTGGGAATTTTCTAAGAAATGTGGGTTTTTTTTAAAGGAATTTGACTGTGATGGAACAATTTCAGAATAGATAACAAACTACAGTAGGAACTTGCCTAAGCTCAAATCTACTAGACAATTTTGGGTTAGAACAATGGTTCCCTTTGATCCTCCAGGTGTTTTGGACTTCAGCTTCCACAATTCCTAATAGCTGATAGGTAAAGGTAAAGGTTGTCCCCTAACATTAAGTCCAGTCATGTCTGACTCTGGGGTGTGGTGCTTATCTCCATTTCTAAGCCAAAGAGCCGGCGTCCATAGACACCTCCAAGGTCATGTGGCCAGCATGACTGCATGGAGCGTCATTAACTTCCCGCCAGAGATCTACTCACATTTGCATGTTTTCGAACTGCTAGGTTGGCAGAAGCTAGGGCTGACAGCAAAAGCTCATGCTGCTCCCCGGAATCGAACCTGCGACCTTTCGGTCAACGAGCTCAGCAGCTCAGCGCTTTAACCCATTGCACCACCGGGCATTGATAAGCTGACTGGTATTTCTGGGAGTTGAAGTTCAAAGGTCCTTCCATTGGGCTAGAAGAATATCATGTGATAGTTTAAGGACAGGTCTACTGAGAGCACACTGAAGGGATTCCAGTGCACTGAGCTGCTTACTATTTATTAGAGAAGTTTAATGTGTATAAAGTTAGGCTCAGAACATTTTACTGCTGAGGACACATGAACAAAATGTTGGATTTTGATTTTTCTTGAGCTTGATACTTCTATTTATTTAAAACTTTATTTATTTGTGATTAAAGTATTTCTTTACCTACAATAATGTTCCATGTGTACGTTTTGTAGCAATGTTGTAATGCAACTCTTTAAAACCACAAAATTGTGTGCCTCCCCTTTAGAAGTATGTAGGTTTATAGCTTGGCTTATCATGCAAGGTGGCTAGATAGGTGGATAATCTTCTGACCTGAGAATTCAGCCCTGCACCATCTGAACTTCTAGTGAAAGGATAGCAGGGACTGCTTGCTACTTGCCCTCCAGATCTCGAAGCAGGGTAATGCACAAATTCAGCCCTGCACTCAAGCAATACTAGCAGGATTGTTGTAGGTTTTTCGGGCTATATGGCCATGTTCTAGAAACATTCTCTCCTGACATTTAGCCTGCATCTCACCTCTGAGGATGCTTGCCATAGATGCAGGTGAAATGTCAGGAGAGAATGCTTCTAGAACATGGCCATATAGCCTGAAAAACCTACAACAACCCAGTGATTCCAGCCATGAAAGTCTTTGACAATACAATACTAGCAGGAGCCAACTAATCCATGAATCTCATATGGAAGAGACCATAAGGGACATCCATTCCATCTCTCTTCCATGTATGAACACACAAACAGCACCTCAAACAGATTGCCAGAGGAGACTCCACCACATTCCCAGGCAGCAATTTCCACTGCCTAACAGTTCTTCCTAATGTTTAGTAGGCATGGGCATTTGGGGGAAACCTTGTCCCATTTCTTGTCCTTGCTTTCTTTGGGGGCCCCGATTCCTTTTTTGTAAGCCTCCCAAAATTGGGATTGTTGCTCTTGGTTCTTTTGTTTTGGGACCCGAAAATCTGACCATTATTGGAGGGGTTTCCCACCCACTGGCTCCCCTTCCTGGCATGCGTTCTTACCTGGCACCTGCTTTTTCTGCTCTTAGAGTAAGAGGTCCTCGGCTGTAGGTACTGGCAGGCACATGCACTTTCCAGGCCTACCTGCATGCCTCGCCATACACACACTCTCCTTGACAGGCAGACAGGCTCGTAAAGTGCTCGTGCCTGCCAGTGCCTACACTCTGGGCCTGCCTGCCTGCATGCCCCGCTACACTCTGAGTGTGTGTGTGTGGCAAGACGTGCAGGCAGGCCCAGAGCAGTCCTTTTTATCCTGGGCGACGACTGAGCCAGTATAGACTTCATTTTGTTTCTCCATAGTGCTAATGGGTTAGGTCAGTGGTTCCCAACCTGGGGTCCCCAGATGTTTTTGGCCTACAACTCCCAGAAATCCCAGCCAGTTTAACAGCTGTTGGGATTTCTGGGAGTTGAAGGCCAAAAACATCTGGGGACCCCAAGTTGAGAACCACTGGGTTAGGTGCTCTTCGTTCCACTCCCCAGCTGAGACCTCTCTGACTTGGTTGGACCTGCTGGTAGTTACACTACTGCCAACACAGCTCTCAGCATCCTTGGAGCAGTTAAGCCCCCCCCCCCCATCACAAGGTGGCACCCATTGGGGAATAATGATGATGATAATGATGTTAAAAATGAGAGAAGCCAATAATAATAATAATAATAATAATAATTATTATTATTATTATTATTATTATAGGTTACTCTCTTTTTAATAGCCTCTCCTGGCCCGAAAATGGCCAGGGAGGGGGGTAAATGTGGTAAAATTGCTTCCATGTTTCCTACAGGGCATTTAGGGTCAAAAGCCTTTTTAAAATAAACATCAAGACTCCTAGTTATACTTTGCCCACTCTGCTTTAACTATTCATCTTGTAAATCAGAACAAACATGGTTAAGTGTGTTTTGGAATCCCAGTTTATAATCCACTACACTTTACAGCACCATTAATTGCTCCCTTTGTTTCCAAGCTAAATTTGGCGCTCATGTGCATTGAGCTGTGTGCACACCATTTTTTACATCTTTAAAAACCAAAACAAAATTAAATGTTACACTTGAAGGACACTTGAAGGAAGTTCTATATCACAGTGGGAATCCCTGCCTTTTTTTTTTTTTTTTTGTCGCGTCAGGAGCGACTTGAGAAACTCCAAGTTCTGGTGTCAGAGAATTGGCTGTCCGCAAGGACATTGCCCACGGGACGCCCGGATGTTTTGATGTTTTATCATCCTTGGGGGAAGCTTCTCTCATGTCCCCACATGAGGAGCTGGAGCTGATAGAGGGAGCTCATCCTCACTCTCCCTGGATTCGAACCTGCAACCTGTTGGTCTTCAGTCCTGCTGGCACGGGTTTAACCCACTCTGCCACCAGGGGCTCCTATCCCTGCCATTGATACTGCTGATTTCTCTCTCCCTCTCTCCAGTTCTTTAACTCATATCCTTAATAATACACCGGGGATTTATTTACTAATAAGTGGTACCTTCAGTGAAATCTTCCAGATGCTCCAAACCATCTTTACCCTACCTTTTCCAACAGTCAGCACTCTGGTGCCTGTGAGTATTCAATATAATTAAGATTCAGCTACAAACATGGATTTTAAGGCCCTATTTTCAATGCTACTAATCCTTCAGCTCCATCATGATTTCACTGTGTTCATAGACAAGTCTGCTAAATGCTTGCTACTTTAAAGAGGTCATAAGCATTGCCCGTGCTCACTTACAATCCCAAGCAATTACTTTGATTTTCAAGTTTGTTCAGCTGCTGAGAGTGTTTCCAGTAACAGAGGAACCATGTGTGACAAACACATTTGTAAAGCAATTAAGTTACTGTTTCTCTATTGGCCCTGCATATGCTTGAACGCTAATCTGGTTACATTGTGTTACCAAAACACTTGAACAATCATACTGATTTAAGTTACATTTGCCATTCAATTTCTTACTCCATTTTTCCATGTCCAAAATTGAAAGCTGATCCCTGCCTTCTTCCTGCTTTGTGATATCATATGCATGAGAAATTCCATTTTAAATAAATCTGATTGTACACCTATGCACAATGCAACCTCAAATATAACAATGTGTTGTGATAAAAAATGTACATAAAAACAAACATGATATATATCTTTTGTGCTACTTTTGAAAAGGGAGATGCTTCTAGAAGTCTCCACATACTTTGCACTTTCCCTTAACAGCAGAGCATCAAAGATTTAAGGCATTGCTATACTGCAAACTTCATTTACATTCTATCTTGGGTACCTGGCATTGCCAGGTTATTTGAAAAAGTCAATTTTTAAATTGTACAAAATGCATGAGGTTGTGGATTAAGTACAACTGATATCGTGCCAGGTTAATCCCAATCTCCATCAGTACTTGAAGTTTGTTATGTTGCGCAAGTTTGCTCTAGATGTATCATTGGTGGGGTTCAGTGTGCTCTCTGGCTGTAGGGTAAACTACAACTTCCACTATGGTGAGTCAGTCCCCTCAAACCCCTCCAGTAGGTTGAGTTAGTCGTGGGAGTTCTGTGTGCCAAGTTTGGTCCAGGTCCATCATCGCTGGAGGTCAGTTTCTCTAGTTGTGTGTGAACTACAACTCCCAGAAAGGAAGGTCAGCCCCCCCCCTCCAAATACAAAAACCACCCTCCAATAATCAAATGTCAACATATCAGCTTTGTGTGCCTAGTTTGGTCCAGATCCATTGGTGTTTGGATTCCCAGTGCTCGCTGGATCTAGGTTAACTACAACTTCCCCCAATCAAGGTGAATTTTCCCCAAAGACCTCCAGTATTTTTTTGGTGGTAATGGGGGCTCTGTGTGGCTAGTTTGGTCCAATTGCATCATTGGTGGAGTTCAGAGTGCTCATTGATTGAAGGTGAACTATATATCCCAGTACCTACAACTCCTATAAATCATGGTGAATTCTCCCCAAGGCATTTTACAGAAGCTTCCCACTTCCAGGTAAGGAAGAGAGATGACCTCCTGGAAGAGGAGAGTAGTTTTCAGGGAATTAGGGTTTTCTTTTTGTTTGCTGGAGGTTTCACGTTGAGTGGGTTTTTTGTACCAAGAGGGCCCTCACTGTTATGAGCTCGTGAAGCACTGAAGGTACCAAAAGAAACAAAATAAATGAATTCCATACACAACTCTATCAGTCTGGCCATCTATACTG